AAGTGGTCTTCCACAGTTGATCATTATTGTACTGCACATGGACAATAAAAGATAATTGTGAAATGTTATCTCTCTATGTATTGCACTGCAGTGAAAATCACTACAAGTACTGTACATTTAATATACCATATGAGATAAGGATGGAAACATACTTACAACTGTAATATTTTTCTGGTCTTATGAAAAAGCATAATTTTAAAAATACTAAAGGAAAATCATCAGGTGTAATGTAATTAAGCAAGAAGTGTGTGAGATTGACAGTCATAAGAGCATTCCACACTATGATTGACAACATGAAAACTTGTACAGTATTCTTATTTTTCTTCTCATCAATGTTTTTTCTTATACGTATAGTGAGAGGACAACACTTAGAGTGAACTGTGTTATGATGACTGGGAAGTGATATTTTGTGCGTTTTGTAATTGTAGGGTGTGTCGAATCTTTTGCTTTGAAAATGTGAGCAGTGTCAACCGCTATCATTGTTTTTGTTATCATCTGTTTTTGTGACAATTGCTTTTGCTCTGTTTTTGTGACTGGGAAGTGAGCTGTGTAACTTTGAAAATGTCTGGGAAGGCCAAGGCATCCAAGACAACCATATCTCTGAGGTGAAGCTTGACATTGTTAAGCAGCATGAGACACCCTGAGGCTGTGTGGGAGTCAGTGATGTCTCGACTCTGTCTACAAGAATCCCCTTAGCCTCAAAGGGGACATGTGATGATGACCAGGCTTATTCTTCACGATGTGGTGAGTGCTGTTTGTTTTGCACTGATAGTAGTATTGTAGGAATTGTTTTGTCAGTGATACATGTGTGTTTGGGGACCGCCTGGGAATGTATCCCATTGAACCCCATGTTATAATGCTCCCTATCTACGATAATTCACCTAGTGACGAGTTTTTCAGGAACCTAACCCCATCGTATCTCGAGGTTTACATGTATACACTATAAGAAAAAAAATACTGTATATACTCTGCATGTGTATATGCATGAAGCTAAGTAGTCCATGTACTGTACTATACTTAGACAGATCATGAGAGGAAAGGGTACACAGCTCATGAAAGCATAGGCAGCTTGGGAAATGAATAAAAAACAATGGAGGCTGGCAACATCAAAAGTGCAGAGTAAATGTGATGTAAATCAGGTAGTGGTATAAATTGAGTGACAAGTGTTTGCAAAATGATGTAAAAAGGGCAATCAGACCCCACCCAATGCAAATTCAGCTACAATGTATGCGACTGAAAAAATGTAACTAAATTCCAGCAATGCATTGAAAAATTCACATACATGCGGTCTGAACAAGTGACACCATGGGCAGCAGGACCCAGGTGCCATGCTTTCCCATTAAGTTACAACAGCTCAGTATTGGTAAGGAAAGGTACACATGAAGTGTTAGCATTTAACTGGTGCATGATAACAAGCAAAGGGACTTTAAGCACTTTGTAAGTTTGGGTAAACACAGTGAAGCTGTATACAACATAGCACCTAAACACTGTGTTACCTGGTAATGTCTGGATAACCGAATTGTCCCCATGAACCTGTACAATACATCTGTATACACAGTAAATTAAACTTTACCAAAATTTCCAAAAAGAAAATAGCATTCAGAACTGTGGCACTGGACTGAGATAGAACTGAAGCTTGCTAGTACAGTATTTAGAATGCTGGCTTGTACCGTCACACAACTTCAAAATGGTTTTGAAGTCAAATTTGTTGATCCTCACTGTAATCCAGCTTGGAAGCAGGTTTAGTGGTTTAACTTTCATCCAAGATTGCAGATGTCAATATGAACTTTGACAGCTACAGCATTTCATCAAGTTAAGGTGTTTGTAGAGAGGATACTGATGGTTGATAGGCAGATGAATATTGATGTATTATTATGGCCCACAATTTGAATTTGATAGTACTGTACTGTACTGTACTGTACTGTAATTTTGATTATCTAAATAAAGATATGATACTACATCAACAGGTCCTTACAACTTGTGAAATATATTCAAAATATAGTACATGTATGTACTTAATTATAATGGAATAAAAAAATAAGTGATGATGTTAGACATGGGAGCATGTTCTTAACTACTATTACCTTTATGTTTAATTTTGTTTACAGGCATCCCCCGCGTTACGGAAGGGTTGCGTCCCTGGAAAATTGACCGTATCCCGAAATTCCGGAACGTGAAACCCATTGACTTCCATTATAAAACTGAAGATGTGTTCCTTAGGAATTTTTTTTGGCCCCCAAAAAGTAATTCAAGCACTTTTATGAATGAAAATAAACATTTATAAACACAAACAATACAGTACATTACATAATTTATGATACAGTCAGTTCTGCTGTAACGCGATAGTTGTATTCTTGTAGAACCTCGCATTCTAGAAATTCACGAAATAGAAATAACAGGGCTTATGGAGAAAATGGGGTTAGGTGCAGATTACTCGAAAAAAAAAAAAAAAATTAGTAGTTAGTCTAACACAAAGGATAGCACAGTCTAAATAAATGTTACATTCATATCTAATAATGAAATCATACGGTAAATGTTACACTTTACCTTGAAAAAATATGAATATAACTTGATGGGGGAGAAGGGTGATGTTGAGGAGTCGTGCAGACAGGATTTGACAGTTGTCATCATCAGTATCAGGCACTGGCTGCTTCACCACATAACTTTACATTAGGAAATGCATAGAGGTTCTTAAAACCAGAAAACCATCCACTACTAGCACTAAAGGCAATCACATCATCAGGATTTTCAGCTTTTTTCTTTAGGTCCTCATATATTGATAAGGCTTTCTCTTTAATGGTGAGGAAGCTGGTCCCAGATCGCTTTTTCGTTTGATCTTCTATCCAAACACTTAGAAGCCATTCCATCTCCTCAAGTTCCTTTGGCTGTGATCTCACACTTTTGCGAGCACTCAAGGGTTTTCCAGCAATACAGCTTGCTTTAATCTTTGCTGCATTGTCTCTAATGGTGCGTAAAGTAGACTCCTTTATTCCTGTTGCACGCACAATATCATATGTTCTTTCCTTATTTTCAAAACACTTGACAACATCAAGCTTTTCATAAAGTGTTTTAGCCTTTCTTTTACGATCACCACCGGAAATGCAATCTCCAGAAAGCTTCCTGGAGATATTCTTCTTTTCAATAGTCACAAAATTGGAGAAACAGTAAGCAAAAATCACTGAGGACGCTTAAAAACTTCCCACGCATTTCAAACTGATCGTGTGTGATGTAAACAGAGAGCGTGGGTGTAAAACGCTACGTATTTTGTTTTTCTCTCCTATTTAAAATTTTACAATTTACATATACTGTACAGGTATACTGTATACATAAATATTACATAAATTATTTCTGCAATTCTTCACAAACAAAACACATAAATCATTTGAACATGTGATGTCAAACGTGAACTGTAAACACTGCATAACCCAGCGCCAAGCGACAACAACCATTCATGTGGAATCGCTTTACAGCCAACACGCGTTCACATTTTAAAAATATTGTTCTTCTATTCATCAATCGCGTTACAGCCAATTCGCGTTGACAAAACACGCTTTTCGCAGAGCTCACTGTATACCTACTTAAAACATCAAGTTTAATATCCAATGTAATGCCTTTACGGCTTCTTTTTGCGAGAAATATGCGCGCACAGTGGATGTAAACAATGGACTGACTCCGCATGGCGACACCACGCTTGGCAGTAGCAAACACCAAAAAATCCACACCATACAAATTATAAAAAAAAAAAAAATTATATATCGTGATTTTTTTTTCAATTGTTAAAATTTACCCCAATTTCCGTAAGGGCGGATTTACGGGCCGTATTGCGAAATTATTGGTCATAATTTACAAATTCTGACAGCGAAATTCCGCAACCCGGGGTTCCGTAATGTGGGGGATGCCTGTATTATCATCGCCAAGAATATTCATCGTCATATCTGCCACCATAATCTTGTAAACATTGCTCTTAATGGTGGCTGGCTGTTGTAATGGTGTTAATGAAATGTGATTGGCTGGAATTTTACCATTTGAGTCATTGCCTGAAATTTAAGAAAATGCAACAGATTCCTTGATCTCGGGTCCACACTGATGTTCTGAATATGGGTAATCCTTTACAAGAAATCTCAGATTGTTGGATCCCAATTTACACACCTGAGCTGAGCTCTAATACCAGGCTCAAACCACTGTTCTGAATTCGGACCTCATTGTTTTGGCAAAATGTACTCGCCTAAAAAGATGCAGCAGTCAGTACCCCTTTTGGTCTTCATACTGTACTTTATTTTGCAAAAAATATCACTTATACATGTATCATCTTGAATGAAACCTTCCCTTACACCTCTGAAGGTGGATGCAGTTATAGGAATACAGTGACCATGCTGTATTGACTCACCTGCTGCCGAGACTTTTGAAAGGGAGTGATAAGAGCAGCAAAACGGGATACAGTATTTCATTTCTGCTTGTGTCTCCTTTGTTGACGAGAGGGAAACAGGGTCACCCAGCACTGACAATGACCTCCCCATCACCTTGCCTCCCCTCCTTGCATGTTCTAACAAGCCAAGCCAACCACCACCCTCAGCTGCCACACCCACCTCACTTTTGCAACATAGCACCACAGAATGAACCACCACTTCTGCCCCACCCATTGTGATTGCTTTTGTTACAAGGTATTTTACAATTGTATGCATAGTTAAATTGCCATGGTGAAATGATTTTATAGATAGTTACTGTATTTTACGTACACAGACAAACATGGAGGAAGGGTTTGCGGGGATGTGAGAGAGTTGGAGGTAAGGTCTTTGAGCGAAGCAAACACCTTGAACACTCGGGGTTAATGACCTTGGCGGCAGGCTGTTTTACATGCCGACATACAGTAGTTATTCATACATAATAATTGACAGGGTTTTCCACAAAATATATTTATTCTGCTTACTTTTTGAGTTCGTGAAAGCCTTAAATATATGAAAATAAATTTATAAAAACAGGAATGTCATGTATACCTCTGGTTTATTGATAGATATATTTTTATTCACACAGTTTTTACTCAATCTTATTATAGACAGACTACAGTATTTTAGATGATATATGTATTATACATAATCTTTTTCTAGTTTATATTGCAACAGATTAGACGTGAGGTCTTGTGGAATGAACAACTATAATCTGTTCTGGCACACAGCAGTGAGCAAAGGTAAGGTGAGTGTGCAGAGTAAACAAGGACCCCCTGGTCTTTCAGTCTGTGAGAGAGTCATTAGAAAATAATTTCAAGAAATCCTCCTTCACCGGAAAAAAGAAAAACCAAAGAAAAAAAATAGTGACAATTGTCAAGTATGTACTGTAATGTGCAAGAGATTCCTGCGGCTACCATCAGCTAGTGAGTGTTTATCGGCAGATTTCATGTCCAGTACCCCTCCATTGCTCCACAAAGTCTACTTTAAGGTCCAGGTCCCTAAGTGCTGCCTTAGCCACATCCTTTATTGGCTCTCCATGATTCTGAAGAGCTGAGTTGATCACTTCCTCCACCCCATATTCAATAAAGAGCTGTCGATTCTCTGGTACACGGCACCCAATGTTTCGTATAGCCATGCAACCCAGTTTCTGTGGAAAAAATAAGAAAAGAGATAATCCTTAACTACTGTCATACTGCAACACATTTAAAATATAAAAACAATCACATCTCTCAAATTCTGGAATAATTTCAAGAAAAATACCACTTATGGTTACACTGCAATTTCTACAAATTACCTAGTACATGTAGCATTGTGGTGGCAAGGCTCTGTTGATTTCTCCTTTGTATAGTTTGGTTATTGATCTACTGGTATAATCTTTCTCACTTTACCTCTCATAACTAAGCCTTCTTTATCCAGTTGATCCTGTTCAGTATTTTACTACTGTAGCTTTACTTCTCAGAGGAAATCAAATAAGCCCCAATAAACCACCTTCTCTTAACAGACAGAAATGGAGGATTGATCCATAATATTCAGTATTCTAATTGAACCCATAGCAAGGCTGCTCTTGTTACTGTGCTTGTCTATCAAGCTATGCACCCACTCAACAACTAGGGGGTTGATTTATGGTAATGATCACCAATTCCTCTATTACAACCATCACCCTCACATGAAAGAGATTAGAAACAAACCAGGGAGAGGGATCCAGTGAAGTGCAAATAAAGTCTTTTCAGAAGTCTAGACATCACATAAAAAAAAATTGAGAAGTGACATGTCCAGTATGTGGAAAAAAAACTTTATGTACCACTTCACACTCGTCTTTAGCTACACATTCCATACTAATGAGTGAAATGTAAATTTTTCCCAAAGCCCTATTCTCTTATTTTATTCGAACACAGCCATTGGCTTTCTTACAACTTATTATTGCCAGTCTCTCTTGTCACTGTCCTAAATCCTTCTTCATGAGCATCAACACCACTTGATGCACAGAATGTTCTTATTGTGCTGTGTCACATACTCACCATGCTTTACCACAGAAAGTTTAGCCATGCTTTTCTCTGTTTGCTTGAACAGTTCTGCATGCACCACTATTTTTCACAAGTACAGAAAGAGGTTCTGTAAAATATTTTATTCCAAAATACTGGGGCTTTAAAAAAATGTCATGTACTGTACAGTATTGCCTGAAACCAAAATGACCCCTCCACTTCATCAGGCTCTCATCTATGCTGACATCTTGATATGTTACTGTAATAATTTGAGCTTATTAATACCAGTACAGTATCTTTCACATACAGCAAAATACTTATTTTTACCTTATTATTTGGCTTGTCATTTAAGGATATCATATTGGAAACGTCTTGTTGAGAATTTATTAAGGATCATTATGGTATCAAATTCATCTCCCTATTACAATTAGACATCTTCAGGTAATGAGACCCACTAATCACCCACCCAAGAAAGGGTGACCTGACATTCCATTAGAAGATTAGTAATATGAGACCACTTATGCCCCATCCTACCTCTGCCTGACGTTGAGTCAGGTCAGGTCCCCCAAAAAAACACTTTATCATTTGTCTTTATTCAAGACATCGTCAGGTCATGAGACCCACCCAAGAAAGGGTTACCTGACATTCCATTAGAAGGTCAGTAATATGAGATCACTTATCCCCCATCCTACCTCTACCTGACATTGAGTCAGGTCAGGTCTCCCCTCAAAATACTTTCACTTTAGTCTTTATTCAAGACATCTTTAGGTCACGAGACACACTAATCCCCCAACCAAGAAATGGTGACCTGACATTCCATCCTTGTAAATTCAGTTGCCTTTGAAGACATCTTGAATAAAGACGAAAGCTAAGGTGCTCCAGCGTATACGTACTTAGTTGACTGAGAACTTGATTTAGCGGAAATTTTTAATTAGTTCGTTTAATCGAGAAAATACTGTAATTAGGTAGCCAGACCCATAAAGAGATACAATAGTTAACCCAAGACAAAATAAGAAGTGAATGTAAGAGTGTCACAAGATACTGTCTATCCAAAATCTATTTCACAGCATATACAGTACTGTAGAATTTGAATATGAAAGTTGTAACTCTAAACCACTGAATTTATATGCTCTTTAAACTTTAGTTTTTAATCAAAGTACACTCCAAGATTAAGAACAGAATCAACATGACTGAGTTGTACTTTCCCAAAGTTTAAAGAGCCAAATCACCTGTGCTGTCTTCCCTCCTACCGGTATTTCCTCAGATGACGATAATCTCGGTTTTGCTATCATTCAGCTTAAATTTTCTCCTAGCCATCCAAATCTTAGTATTAGACATCAAGGATTTCATTATCTCCTCAATTTCTTAAACATTTATCATTTGCACATAAAGCTGTGTTTCATCAGCATACAAATGTTAGGCAACACCATGAGTTTCCAGCAGAGATACAAGACTACTGTAAACAGAAGAGGTCCCAAAACTGATCCCTGTGGGACTCCAAACTGCAAAGAGATCGGATCTGAAATGGTTCCATCAACCATCACACATTGAGAGCGCTCTGGCAAATAAGACTCAAGTAGTGAGAGTGCATTCTCACGGACACCAAATGACCAAAGATCCTGAAGCAATAGATGATGATCCACCATGACAAAGGCTGCAGAGATCCAGCAAGATCAGAAGGGAGGACTTTCCTGGTTTATTTTCAAATCATTATTAATTTTATGTAAGGTAGTTTCAGTTGAATGATGCTTCCTATAGGTTGCAACTAATCTGGCATAGTATTGGACAATTAATTGACATATTTTCAGTATCAAGAGCATGTTTCTTAAAAAGTGGATACAATAAAGCCTCTTTCTCAGATCACACAAAATTATCCTCTGCAAAGCATTTATGTATTTATAATTCTACAAATAAAGTCTGCAGCATGTTCATAAGTAGTGATACCTTAGACACATTTACAGGATCAAAATGACAAAACGTCTTCCCTGAATCCTTGATATAGCGGAGAATGTTGTTCACCCCTACAATTTTTAGGAAAAGTGTGGCTTATATTTGTCAAAATACAGTACAGTGGTCCCTCGGTTAACGAGCACAATCCGTTCCAGCAGGTTGCTCGTTAACCGAAAAACTCGTTTACCGAAACTATTGTTTCAATGGGTTTTTGGGTAATTGGTTCCAGCTCACCGAAAATTGCCTAAATTCAACAAAAAAGGTAGAAAAGTACACTTACTTTGAGGTGTGTATGTAGAAGGCTCCTGGATGATGATGATGATGGGAATTAGAATGGGGGTGGAGGAGAAGGGAGAAGAGAAGGCATTGGGGTGGAAGAGAAGTCACCCCATAGCGCCATTTCACCCATAAAATTTTAGTTCTCTTGGTGTAATTCAAGATTATTTTCTTTAAATCAACACTGCACTGTATTATATATTGTCAATATGTAAAATAAATTTCAAAATGACCAATAATTTGCTTGCAAACACAGAAAAAAGTGTTTAGTTGAAGAGAGTCTCAAGCAAGATGTTACCTCCACTGAAAAAAGAGAGACTAACGCCTGTTTGGAGTGTTAACAGGCTGGATGGCGCACCAGAAACAAGTTTCTTTACCTTCACCTATTTCAATAATTGTTAAAATGACTAAAAAAGTTAATATTAAACTTTTAAAATTATTGAATAGTATAAACTTCTTGATATTTACTAAAATACAGGTTGTACCTCTCTAGTCCGGCAACCTCGGGACCTGACCGGTGCCGGACCATGGAAATTCACCCTTTTCCTGGATAGATAGTGACTTGTGCTTATGCTTAGAAGCACTAGCACCACTTTCTCTGCATCATGGTCTCTTTCAAGACATATTGAAGGGTTAAATGTCGTAAAGTAGCTTCTCAAATTTCGCGAGTTTTTAATTCAACTTATTTTATTGGAATACACAAAAAAAAAAATAAATAAAAATTTTGACGGCGGAAACTTGAATTTCGACTGGTTTGAACGGCCCGCCAATGTGCAGACGACGTGCATAATCGTGTAAACAGCGTCATTTCTCTTATGTACAAAAGATTCATTATTGTTTATTACTGAATGTCTTTTTTATTGAATTAATGTGTATGTGTGCAAAATGAGCAATACAATTCATTAATAATACGTAGAATATTAAAACACACGAGGAAATGACACAGCATTGTTTTCGTTGATTACAAAACCAGTGACTGACTGGTTCTACATATAAAACTGAAGAAAATAAAACTTTGGTTGTAGCTGTAGTAAAATTAATATGGTTGTTTTAAGTAATGTTATTTAATGTTAATAAATGGAACAATAGAAGTAGCTAACGATAATGGTAAAGAAAAAAGCGAGATCGCTTATGTAAGTGCGCACACGTGAAAACATATCGTCATTACTTTACATAAGAATATGAAAGCAACACTTATTTAATGTTCATATATATTTTAATTAATGTTTCTGAATTTGTTATTATTGAATTAATGTTTGTGTGTGCAACATTAACAATACAACTTATTAATAATACGTGGAATGTTAAAACACACGAGAAGACGAGACGGCTGCCAGCATTGTTTATGTTAAAGCTTACAAAACCAGTGACTGATTGGTTCTACATATAAAACTGAAGAAAATAAGACCCTGATTGTAGCTGTAGTAAAATTACTGTAAAAAAATAATATGGTTGTTTGAAGTACCTGTAATGTTATTTCATGTTAATAAATGGAACAATATAAGTAGCTAACCATTAATAGTAAAAAAAAAGTGAGACCACGTATGTAAGTGAGCACATGTGAAAACATATTGTCATTACTCTACATAAGAATATGAAAGCAACACTTATTTACTTCTCATATATATTGAAGGGTTAAATGTTGTACACTGTATAGACAAGCAGAGAGAGAGAGCAGTCGAACTGCCGGATGTAAACAAATCTTAATTTCCCGCGGCTTTGTTGTTGTTTTTGTTTACGGGGATTAGCCCACCCGGGCATAGGTCACTGACCCACATTGGGGCCTGAGGGGCAAAAATTTAATCCTCCTGTAATAATAATTCAGATAAGTAAAAAAAAATAAAAAAATAAATAAATAAATAAAAATTGCCTATCTACCTATTGGACAAACTAAAATCGTTCCGGACCACGGGAGTTTCCGGACCACAGAATGCCGGACTAGAGAGGTACAACCTGTAGTAAGGAATTTAAGCCCTAAAACCGATTACTGTATTGGCAGACTATTACTACAGCTGGTGGACCGCCAAATGCAAGCGAAAACATGTTGAGGTCGGCTTGTAAAAAACTCGTTAATCGAGGGATTGCTCGTTAACCGAAGTAAAGAATCTTATGGAAGGTAAATCGTTAAACGAAATCTCGTTAACCGAGGGATCACTGTACTGTATTCAGCTTTCAATTATATTATCAATTTTTAGATTGAACATGACTACTGTATAGGCATAATTTTAATACTCAAAATAACTGAAAAATACTTTATCATGTATTTTTTATCAATCAGAAATTTTACTAATATCATACTTTACTGTACTACTAACCTGCAGTTGCATGTTATTGTAATGAATTTTCATGGCTTGTATGATGGCCTGTCCACCTCCAGCCTGGATGATCTGTTTAGCATGAGCAGGGACCCTCAAAGCCAACATGGAGAGAGCACCAAATCCCTCTTCGCAGACACCTACTACAGCCTGTTGACATAATTTGAAAGTATATAACTTATGCTATTTAAATAAAAATAACAAACTCAGTTGGCATGAAAATATTTGTGCAAATGGTCCTAATCACCTTGTTACCATAATCTGAGATCACAGCTGAACCTATTTTAGCAATAATCCAAGTTTTGATAACTGGAACTTACCAAGTGATCTGTTGAAAGCTTCTTGCCATGGGGGTTATCAAAGCACAAACTAAATATGGAAGCTAAACACCTGATGCTAATAAAGTTATAATGCAGACTCGACAATTTAATGAGTGCTTCTACTGTATTTAGCATGAATGCAAAGATGATAAACCTTATGTATTTGGCAAATACAGGTTGTTCCCAGAGATCTTTCGTGAAGGTTATATTGAAGATTGTCCATTAGGATAAATGTCAGACATATAGTAAGTAAATGAGCTATAGTACAGTATTAGAGCCATGTTAGGAGGGGATGTACTCTTGATATATCTAAGTCTGAGCCTTTCTAGAATCTTAGATTGTGTACTTTGAAGGGAAATTTGTGTGTACGGTGATTTTTGGGGGTCTAAAACGTTTTGCTATGATTGTAATGATGACTTTCTTCCATACTGTGTGTTAGTCCCTGGTGTTTTAACTGAATGTTGGAGATGATGTCTGGTCCTGCAACTTTAGGAATTTTCTATAGCTCTTTGGCCTTGAGTGGTGAAACAGGGTTGGGACTGAGTGTCTTATTTGATTTTTTTAATATCTTGTGATTTCCTTGTTTATTGGGGAAGTTTGAAGTTTATGGATGAATAATACTACAGTATAGTTCATTCTGGTATTTGCTTGTTGTTTGGGATGGAACCAATTGGACTAAGAACAACATTGCTTCTTGTGTGGGGAAAGATTATTATTCTCAAATTTAATCTAAAGGTTTTGTGGTTTAGGTTGTTGACAAAGTTTTTCCAGTTCTATTCCCTTTGGGCATTGGGTGATTAAAAAATAGAAATATCAAACTTATTGGGGGGAAATGATGAGGGTGAGTATATTGGAGAGAGATGAGTGTATAGAGGGGTGACTGTTGGACATATTCTGAGATCAAGTTTTGGAGGATGCTTGTACTAGAAGAATCCTAGTGAGATAAATGGATGGACAGATATATAAATAAATCTCTCAAGCAAACACAAACATATGCACACTGGTGAATACAAAACATGAAATTCTGTACAGGGTTACTTAACACTCTTGGGGTTTTCATATGCAAATTTGCATATGATCTAAATTATGACTTTAGTGTTTTAATATATAAATCTGTGTATGAACTAAACAATAACAATAACATAATTTTGTTTGCTTATGAATGCTAAATATGCGAGACACACATTTGGCAAAGTAGGTGTGATCTGGCATCTATGTAAACTGCCTCCAAGGTTACGTGAGTGACCACACCAGTTGCCCTTTGTGGTTCAACGACACAGGACATCACCTTGACCAACATTTCCCACCATTTTCTCGTGGCTTGTGCTGATTTCTCATTCATCACAGTGATTTCACTAATTGATAACAGTGTTGTGATAGTTTTGAACCATGCTTTGTGTTGCTGGCGAAGGTGGAGGGGTGGGAAACGTAAAAAGTACAAGGTACCACGTGGTGATAGTGTGGTCTTCTCCTGAGGCCTCTCTCGGTGTCCCTGGCCTTTCAACAAACAGTCCTAGTGCGAAAGGAATAGCCCAGCATGCCATTGTGGCTGAAGGGAAAAATAAATAAAAGTGTTGCACATGTGGTATCTCAGTCATCGCAGCACGGCTTACCTCATGACAGCTCGTCTCCCTCACAAGTGTTCACTACCCATACTCCCACTAAAACTGGAGTCAATAGCCTTGTTCAGGCTAAGTACGACACTGTGGGGCACAGAGGAGGGGGGAAAGGGCAGGTAGGGGGGAAGGAACATCACCAAATGCTCCAACATCTAACAACATGTAAGTACAGAAATTCATTTATTTTTGTAAAAAAAAATATATATATATACTGTATATATAATACGTAACTGTATTTTTATGCTTTAGACTTAATCAATAATTTGTAATTATTATTTTACAGTACAGGATATGAAATTAAAAAATAATAAGCATTTATAAACACATTATTTATAATTTATGTAAAAAATATAGAAACTTTGAGTGAGGAACATTTGCATTTGGGAGCTTGAGTGACAGCCAGGCAATACAATTTGTGTTATACTCGCACTTACGTATGGATTTAATAATTTTATTGTGACTACGTACCCATATAAAACTATTGCTAAATATTGTATTTACAATGCTAATGCAACAAACACAACCTTTTAATCTCCATCAGAAATCTTGCTGTGACTCAAGATGTACAATTATCTTTTGCGCTCCGAGGGAAAAATTAATACAGCTCCTCCCCGACTTACGACCTACTCGACTTACGACCACCAGGACATACGACTGCCTCAGTCATACCAAAATTTTGTCAAATTACGTATTTTCGAGTCCCAACGTCAGTGATTGCGCTGTGTACTGACAAAATTTTCGTTTGTAATTCACTTTAAAATGGCTGGCAAGCTTAAAAGTGAGAGTTTTGTGGTGCTGAGAAGAAAAAGAGACACCCATTTTAGATTTTCTATGTATTAAGCATTTTCGACTTACGACCTGGATTTGGGTCCCAAACCCCGTCCTAAGTCTGGCAGGAGCTGTAATCTGTACTCGGCCTGGGCGTGCTCATCGAAACGCATAATTTACACTACTGTTACCTAGCAAAATTTATATTTTTTTCACAACTTTTCCTCTATAACTATTTTTTGCTAAATACGTACACTTTATAATGGAATAAGGTTCATATTGCAAACACGTGAAATAACAAAGGTACGTATAAAGTAATGTACAAACATTTTCATTAAGCGTAAACAAAAAAATTGTGTTCTACTCGCGTTTACGTATAGAAATAATTTTTTTTAGCGTGATTACTCATATAAAACAGTTTGTAGATAATTTATTTACAGTGCTAATGCAACAAACCCCATCTTTTTATCTCAAATAGCAAGCTTGTTATGACTCATTACGTACAATTATCTCTCGTGTGGTACAGTCAAGTGCAGTGAGTTTAGTGACCAGCCAGATCCCGAGCGTCTTGCCGGAGAGCACCTCCCTAAACCCAAGAGTGTTAATCTATTCTCCTAGCCAGTTTAGCAATCTCTTGTTTTGTGAGTTAAATCAGCTCTGGTTGAATCAAACAAAAGAAAAATCTTTTCAGCATGTTGAATAGTAAAGAAAAGAAATGTACCTGATGTTTTATAATGGCAGCAATGATCAGCTGGCTGACACCAGACTTCATTGCCTCGGTCTTCACCTTGTCATTGCCCACCATTGCCTTCAAGAGTGACATTGCCTGTTTATTTATAGCCTGAAACAAGAAGAAATACAATGATCTTTATCTAATTAAGAGAAAAATGTAATAGTCAATAATATTACTTAAATAATGTAAATAATTTATGGGTACAGGTGCTCCTCTACTTAAGAACGTTCAACTTACAAACTTTCAGATACAAACATCATCACTGAGGGGGTTACCTGCCAGAACAGGTGTTTAATGTGGATCAGACTGGATTATTTTGAAGAAAATTCCAGATAGAACAAACATTACCTAAGAGGCAAAGAGTGAGCCAGGTTTTAAGGGCATAGCTGTACTAAGTATCCATAATCTTTTAATTTTTTACAATATGTTTGGTATCTACAAGAGTAAAGTTGGACTTACAAACAAGCCTCAGGAACGTACTGTAACTCGTTCATAAGAAGAGGAACACCTGTATTTGGATAAAATACACATTCCTCCCTTTTTTGCTGGAATCAGAAAACTTCCAGCAAAACAAAATAAAAACAGAAGTTGGGAACACAATGCTGAACATGAAAGTAAAGTCTAATTGGAAGGTACTGTAGGATTTTATCATTATAATTAAATCAAGAATATTCTGGAGTTAAAGTAATAAATGCTTACCTTACAAATTTTATTTAAATATACAGTAAGTCACTAATGGTGGATGTGAAGCCCCTTCAGAGAATACATAATACAGTATATGCTTTAACATATCCAACAGTAAGACACAGTAGAGAAAAATAAACAATAAAGAACATGTCTTACAGGATGATCAGGAAATGAAACGAAGACATTGTTGATGACATGCAGCGCTCCGTGATCCACAATTTCTTGACAATACTCAGCTCGCACACACAGTTTACCGACAGTGGAAAGTAACTCACTTGCTGTGTCACTATCCTGAAGCCAGTCTGAAGATGAGGATAATTACTCAATATTTTATTTTTATGAATGTTCTGTTTCTGCAATTTTGTAATAATAGAAAGTACTGTGTAGGTGAGGGACAAAAAATTCAATTTAAGAGAATAAATTTCCCCCAAAAAATTTGTCAAGAACTCATTATATATCACATGTATTTCACAATATGTTTACTGTAGTCATTTGGTGTGCAGCTTTGTTCACACGCTTTTTATGTGAGTCATGAAAGGCTAAGTGTTCTGACCACTTATCATGTTATTTCACCCTTTAATTTCTTCACTATGGGGATGTCAAATAATTTTAGTTAGCACAAGGGGGTTAAATAAAGAGCAACATGTCTGGAAAATGCCTTTTAAGTCAAACTGATAGTGAAAATACCAAAAAGCAATACTAGAGTGACTCCTTGCTTAATGCACTAAACATTCCTGAAAAGTGCCATTTTACGTGAAATTGCATTAAGCAAAACAATATTTCCATAAGAAATAATGCAAATGATTGATGAAGCATTCCATCATATACAGTATAGTACTGTACAGTATTAAATTTTACTGGCCAAGCTTACTAATTATACCATACAAAAGATATCTGTTATTGGGAATATCCAATACAAGGGGTCCTTGCTATACAGTGTACTGTACTGGTATAGGCATCCCACAATTTGTGATGTGTTTACGTTCCTGAAAAATCCATTGTAAGTCATAATATCGTCATAATATCGTATATCGGGATAATTATAACATGGGGTTCAATGGAATATGTTCCCAGCCAGTCTGACACCCACACGTATCACCGGAAATAAAATTCCTACAATAAAACCATACAGTACCTAAAACACAATAAAAAAACACTCACCACATCATTAAGAACAAGTCTGGTCATCATCACATGTCCCCTTTGAGGAAAAGGGAACTCTTGAAGGTGGAGTGATGTCACTCTGATTCCCAGACAGCCTCTGGGAGTCAAGCTTCACCTTCCCAGACATTTTCAAAGTTACGCTACTCACTTCACAGTTATAAAACAGAATGAAAGCACTTGCCACAAAAACAGAGCAAACGATGATAACATAAATACAATGATAGCTGCCAACATTGCCCACATCATGTTCACAACAACAGAAGCGAAACACTTTAGTTAAAAAAAATAGGAAAAATCACTTTACAGTCAATAAAACAGAGTACTTGTACTGTACAATGTGAACATTAGTGATATCCTTTCACTGCAAGGAGGAAAAAACAAAAAGGTAAATAACAACACCGATACTGATGAGTGAGCACCAATGCCATTGTCATGCACTAAATAACAACAGAATTTGCGGAAAATTCATTTCAATGTGATAGCGTGCCATATGAATAAAGAAAAAATATGTAGTATACTGTACAGCAGGGCTATTCAAATACTTTAAGATGAGGCTAGATTACGAAATTGAAATTGAAATTTTTTACTTCCAATTTCTGATCTTAACACTTACACACAAATAAAAATCAAACAATTAACAGTTTAAATTCTCTTTTAAGTACTTTTGTTTAACTGTTTTGCAAAGAATTCATGTATTTAAACATACATAAAAATGTAATTGGCTACACTAAGTGCAAAAGTGAACACTTTGTGGTTAGGCAACACTCAACAGATTTCTGTCTAATTCTGTATATGTGTGACAAGTACAGTACAGTACCAGTTTATCATCTGATAGGCCACACATCTATACCTTTGATACATTTCTCCTATAATGGGAAAAATTACACTTCTTGGATCTTACAAAAGCAGCAAAGTTAGGGTCATAAGTAAACAGAGTGATGTGTAGACACTGATGGAGATGCTGACTAATGAGGGAATAATGATTGTTTTTATGGCATTCATATGTGAGAATGAAGACTCACACACATATGTTGAGCCAAACATTTTCAGGATAAACAGTGCAAGTCTCCTTGTGTGTGGAAACTTCTCCTGGCTGATTTCCTTAGTCCAGAATTTTACACATCCCGCAGACTGCATTGACTGTCACAGGTCAATTGATGATTGGATATCAACAAGTTCGAATTGTATGGACAAGGACAATCAGAGGTTTAATCAGAATTACTCAGAATCAATCAAAGGGCCAATAGAAATAAAAGGGTCGGATTTGGCTTGTGGGCTGCCAGTTGAATAGCCCTGCTGTAAGTAATATCCCTATTAGCCGGAACTCTCCAATTCCCAGAACTGAAATTGGATTGGAATTTTTCCGGGAAAACTCTCTCCATTTCGGATCTGTGATCGAGTTTCTGATATTCAAAATCAGGCATATATAATGAGAAAATTCCAGAAAACCTCTCCAATTAGTTTTTTCTGGGTCTAGGAGCAAATTTTAAGGATGAAATAATGCATAATTCAGGAAAATTTCAAGAAACTTTCTCCAAATTTTTCTGTTCAGGGTCTGGGAAAAAATTCTGAGGATGATATAATGTGCGATTTCCAGAAACTTTTCCCAGTAACCGGAAAAATTCCGGGAAGTGGGATTTTTCTTGGTTTGAGAGAGCCGTTTCATTACCGGTACATGGAAATCTCTCATCCTTGGAAGACCTCTGCAAAACCAGTAACCTGTAATATTTGATGGCAATGCTTGGAGGTTTTTGAGCATTTTCATCATGTTCTAGAACTAAAATTTCCTCCATAACAATGTATATAGTATACTATTGTTTATGGTTAAACAGGTTTCTTTATAGTAATTTTAAGATATGTAAAACTTTTCATGAATGCAACAATTTTGTGAAAAAAGGTAAATTTATATGTTCATACAACTGGAGCCCCCAATTATTTTGGAGTGTTTGTAAAGATTCCCCCCAAAATTCCATAAGCATTTGTCACGAAGCAGCTATTTTTTTTCTTAAATTTTCTGTATCAATATAAATTTGTCTGACTTTACATGTTGTACTTATATAATTTATTTAGACTCCTTTAAGTAACAGGAGCTAAGCACATAAGTAACCTTTTCCCCAAACTAAAAACTTATAAATTTTGCATGAACATTATAATTTTATATGTGGGCTTAAATGTCCGTTTCACCGCAGACAAGTGGGAGTGAAACAAGGTTTTAAATACATTACAGACCAGCTAATTAATGTTAATGTTATCTAGTTTTAACTACTCAAAGATGTAATCACAGCACCAAAGTTTCTAAAATAAATCTAAATTTCTCTTATGAAGTAAAACTCACCCTTAATCATGTCTAGACTAATTGCAATGAGCCCATGTTCCTCAGCCAGCAGTCTTGCATGTTCGTGGGCCTTACCAAATGCTTGTCTAATGTCATCATCAAGTGTGTATGCTCTGAGAGCCTTGCTTGTTGCCTTCACTACTCGGGAATTAGACTTTTGAGCTTGTAATAATGCTACCAAAGAACCGAGAGCTCCTGCTGCTACAAGATTCTGTCTGTTAACTTCATGCTTCAAACAACATTCAGTGGACCAGCGAGCCTGAGATATACAGTATATAACAGATCAAAACATATAAAGTAGGCATGACTAATTACACATTCTTACATAGCCTGCATAAAAGAAATTAATTAGACCACTGCCTGTCTTTTTCTAAAAATTATATCTTATGCTTTATCATGATGTACAGTACAGTATTATATCTTATGCTTTGATGAAATAAATTGTTTAACTAGTTGTAAACAGAGGAGCAAAAACATTATATTAAAAAATTTCAGGTTATAATTTCACAAAAACACAACAATACTTCACCACATATTCTGGAATTGTAGGATTATCACTATATTTTGAGTCTTCAATAAGCTCCATCAAAAACTGAATTCCCTCTCCAGTCAAAATATCTGGATTCAATTCTGTCATTGCCACCATGGCCTTCAATGATGGCCCCAGCAGAGCAGGGTCTCTCTGAAATGGTTTTATTAATAATAACAGCTGGTTTTGTGTTTCTCAAAAGTGCCAGTTCTTCTAAAGAATTCACTCGCGCTCGAAACACTATCAAGTTAAACTTGAGAATGAAAGAAATACCGCACTACAATAAAAGATCACAAAAGGTGACAGTTTGACTTCTATCATTCATATACTGTACCTTTAAGCTTTAACACTTCCTAAACCATGTAATTCTCCATAACTGTACCCTGTTCAGGGTCATAAGCTTTCAAGAAAAGAAAGGTTTTAAGTTGTTTCTTAAAGGCCTCCACAGAAATCAGCTGCTTCTTGGAAGCAAGCAACCAATTGACAATCTGGGTGCTGTACAGAAAAAGGATCAGGCAGCAAAAGATCATTTCCATACTGCTCTAGGCTCCTCATTAATGTGTAGTCAGTGGAATTAGTAAGTTGGCCAAACATTAGTGTCTTAAAAGTCATTAGGCAGAGTTTGAACTCATTCTAGCTTTAATTGAAAGATTGGGGTAGTGGAAGTCCTCGGCCAGAAAGCAAAAATAAGCCTACCCCAGTTCAACACTGCTTGAACTTTCTTCATTAGATACCATATTTTACGACATAAACTGTAAGACTCATGGCCATAAAAAACGTATATTTACCCAAAAATACGAGATGGAAAACAGCCATAACACCTCACAGCTTGACCCAGTAGCCTGGTGGTTACAGTGATGAGTCTAACCTGGCTACAATGCTGCCAGTGGTGTTAACAGATGCAAATAATATGAAAAGAAAGTTATCTGTATAAAGTATCTTCATTTGTATCAGGTATTTGTAGATTTAAAATTAAAGTTGCAGGTATAGCATTAATGCTTGTAAGAGTTCAGAAATGGTTACTGCTTAGCTACTTCTGAAGAGTTGGGTGTCTGCCATGTGTACAGTAGTTATAAATCGAGCTTTTATATTTACAATAATTATTTTTTTAATTAATTAAAATATAATACAGTACTGTAAGGTGTTTAAGTAAGCAATAACATATTCTTAATTCTGAAGTTGGGTTAGGTAGAATTTAGCCTAATAGAGACAGCAACTGGAGGCTTCATTAGCTTACGGGAGACTTCAACTTCACTTATAGGATGCAGGCCGAATTTTTTTTCTTCACATTACACGCAAAAATTATGTCTTATATGCAGTAAAATACGGTAATTAGGTAGGCAGACCCAAAAAAGATTTACAATAGTCAACCCAAGACAAAATAAGTGAATGTAATAGTGTCACAGTGAAAACATCGTATTTTATTAAAAGCTAAAGGGAACAGTTATTTTTCTTTCTGAATGATGTGAATTACAAACATCATATAGTTACTGGTGAGACACTGTACCTTTGGATAATCAAAAAAAAGTTTCTCATTTCTTTATAATACTGCAGTCATGTTCTATCCAGATGTCTTGAACAATTTTGGTGTTAATCCACCAAAGAATTGTTCCACTATTGATCAGCACATTTGATAGTTTATTGTTTGCTGAGTGCACAGGACTAATACACAAGGAGGAAACCAAGTCCTCAACAAAAGCCAGAAAATGAACACAGGACCATTCACTTGCAAGGCAAATATTATACCACTGAAGAAAAAACGTTTTAACTTACCTGAACTTTTTTCAAAAGTTTAAGGAGGACTGCATAAGCACCGTGGTTATTTGCCATGACACGATGAGCAATGGAAACTTTACACTGGGCAGAGAAAGTGGTTAGGGGCCCCTGTATGTCTTCAAGCACAGGAGAACCATCTGCTGCATTACGGAGTTTCTCTAGAGCGATGAGAATATCATGTACGATAGTCTTCTTGTCTTCACTAAGTCTCATGTTCTTTACAATGATTCCAAGATGCACACCCTGCCATAGAAAAAAAAATCATAACATACAGGTAAATAAAAATTGGGTATGAATATCAGTGACAATCAGGACTTATTTATAATTACGGTACAGGTAATTAATAACTTTGCTGTCAGTGGAGGCATTATAACCAGAATGGATCCTAAAATCCTCTTTTGAGATTGTCTATAGCTTGGTGGCTCAAGAAAAGTGTCAACTATGATTTCCAGGGTTGAATCCTTGGAACCCCTAATATGGTGTAGCCATGACTAATCTTATGATTACTCTACCTCCCTGATACAAGCACTGCCATGTGTTTTACCAAACTGGATGGGATAGCCATCTTGGATGGATTCCAGAATACTCCATTCAGTTCAAGGTAACTTTCACTACCCACTAGGTCCTAGGAGGAGGGAGGCTATGGGCTCAAGTCAAAAAAAGTGGTTCCATAATCAATCCTGCATAAATAACCTAACACCTTTGACTTGGTGGCTCAATTATCTAAAGCTAGCTAGAAGTGCCTATAAAGTGGTTCATTTGCTGGTGTTTTTTGCTGAACACTAAAATATCAGGGTTGGTAAAACCCATTGTTAAAGAAAAGATTTTAATGACATTATGTTGGTTTAATAAATTTAAAGTAAAGCTAGATTCAAATTTGATTGAATTCTGTTCCAATTAGCAGGTACTGTACCAGTATAATTTTCATTGCTATAAAGTACATGAAAACATTTATTTTCTTTTGTATTTTTACAATAAATTATAATTTACTGTACTGTATTTAAAGAATTTAAGATTTGCTTATTTATAAAGTTTGATAATTTGCCCTTCTTAAAATAAAATGTGTCATGCAGCATAGAAAATTATTTACATGGTTGACAATTCTTACGAACGATAATACAAGAGAATATATACAGTAACACGAAATTACCAAAAAGACCTAGAACAAGGGTAGTTGTGGAGAAAAGCAGTAGGAACTGAACATACAGTTTTTGACAAAGCAGGATGTAGACATACAATACAGTACTGTACTACATTACCTGTATTACTGTTTAGAAACCAAGCATAAGCCTAAGCAAAGGACCCTCCTGGAAATATGCATCTGACAGCTTTGTCGACTATACTTGGCCAAGTTGCCTTACTGTTTACAATTTTTGTTTACCTGCCCTGCCTTGGCACACAGGAAATTGTATACTCCCATGGACTACATGCACTGTATACTGTACCTACATTGTCTATATTCATGCTGCATTGCATAAATGCATACAGTAGTTTATAAACAAGCTTATGCAATTGTAAACCTGTATGACAACTTTACTGAGTAATTATTATTGTTATTATTATTATCATTGTAGGAGCATTAAAATACTTTGATACATGGCTTCAGGATGTAGTGTAAAGAAGATATCCATATTATGAAGTAGGTTGTATCCATATGCTTGGTCATAGCTTCAAATTTAACTTAAAATTTTAAAAGTGACAGTCCCTTTAGTATCACTGGTGATGGACATCTACTACAATATACTGTAAATCATTAAAACCATCTGGAAATAATCAACACAAACTTATTAAAAACCAATGAAAAAGAAAAGGCAGATGGGTAACAGATTGGTTGTGTGGTGTACAGTATCTGATTTCCTGCCTGTGACTATATCAGGGGGTAACAAGTCTCTACTGTCTGAAGTGTTATACAGTGTACTGTAATTTTTACAATAGTGCCACAACTCATCTAATATAAAGCAGAGAATGCATATTTCATATTTTTTATCTTAAACTATTTGAAGCATAGAGTGTATTACAGAGAATCTGGTGCAATAGAAGATACATAAATTAAGATTTCAGGATTTTACTAAATTATATCTTTATCAAAATTAAATCTTACCTGAGCTTCGAACTCTTTTATGGCTTCATCTATGGCTTCATCAAGGGGTGAGTCAAACTCTGTTACATTCTCTAATACAACACTGTCAAAGGTTTCTTGATATACGACCTTCGCCATCTTGCCTGAAGTAAATGTAATTAATAATTAAAATGTGTTGCTGTATAGTATATAATTTCTTTGTTAACAAGAAATTATATGTGTATACACTATACTGCAATATACAGTACTGTAATCTGTATTTTAGAGAAACATGCAATAGACATGTAATTAGCACTTAATGAAGAAGATAGTAAATTTATTTTTCTTGAACTAGTTTTTTTATTTTTTATCAAGATTCTTTCACAGTTTTACTGAAACTACGGTAAACATTATTTCTCACCCCCCGTAAAAAAAAAGTACAGAACATCAGAAATAATAAAATAAAATTTCTCTAAGTTCACAAACAACAGCAATGCCTTCATTGCTTCCATAGGCTTGTAGTAAATATGAGTGCAGTGTTGATCTATTTGTGAGAGAGAATGACACAAACCATCCAAACCTAACTTAATGAAATACATCCCACGACATTTTAGTAAAGCTGGTTAGGTGTAGTTGGCTCATGTCATCTGCTTTCATATGGGATTTAGAAACATATAATCGTAACTGTCATATCTTAGATATATAATGCAAGTGTTGTTGCTTCTTAAAATATTCCACACATTTTTTAAATTTATTAAGTTAGAAAAATCGGTTTTGATAACCATAGTTTGTCCTAAACACAGATTTGAGGAATGACTCCATAGAATAAAAACTTTCTTACCTCGAGAAAATTACAAAAAAAGTATGAGGAAAACAATTTGTGTGATATAGTATAACTTTTTACAGTACAGTACAGTACAGTACAGTACGTACAGTATTTTTGAGGGAGGTACTACTGCCCGGGAGGATACTGGAAGCATAATGGTAGACCCTGCTGCTATATGGCATCACAAAAATTGTGACCAATTCCCAGGTTGCTGATCTGACTTTCTGTCTCATTTACCGGGTACACACAATTGTAGGGTCTCAATTGTTTCTCTTACTTGACAACACAACATACATATAACATTTCTCACTATTGATATTGTTAATTTTTGTATTTCTTTATAGTTCTTTATTATTATTATTATTATTATTATTATTATTATTAGTATTATTATTAGTAGTAGTAGTAGTATTATTACAGTGTTATTTTTATTATTATCATTATTATTTTATTTTACTTTTTATTATAAATTTTATTTACAATGAATAATTCTTACATTTTCGCCCCCCAGGCCCCGATGTGGGTCAGTGGCCTGTGCCCGGGTGGGGTAATCCGTAAAAAAAAAAAATTATATATATATATATATATATATATATATATCCGATAGTTAATTCTAACAGGCTCCCTGTGTCTGCCATATTTATTTTGGATTAAATTAATTTTCACAGAAATTATTTTTCTTTTAAAAGAATAAAATACAAAACAACTGTAGTATTTTTGGCCAATTTATGTACATTATTTTAGTTCTAAAAAATAAATATAATTTCTATGAAAATAAATGTTCGATCAGAAACATAGTGCACAAGAGGAAATTATTGGCATCACTTCCCAGCAATAAATAATTACTAGCATTAAATTGATACTATGCAAATTGTACTCCTGTATTTTTTTTTTCATTTTCTTGAGGTAAGATAGATTTTACCTTCTTTGGAGAAATTTCCTAAAGCTGGTGCTAAAAGCATGCCATGGCTGTCAAACATTACTGAAAATTTCTTGTTACTAATTGAGGCTGTGGCTGTGTGGTTCCTGGGTAAGTCAACCTCAACAAGTGCATATTAGAAAATATATACAGTAAAAGAGAGAACAGATTTGTAAGTACAGTATGACTCTTTGATATATATATTTTTTAAATCCAAATATATTTCAAGCAACTACTGTATACCAAAGGTACTCAATTGGTGGACTGCCGTTAGCTTTGGTACAAACCCCAGTCCAAATGGAACTAGTAATCTGAATGGAACTAATTGATCTTCAAGAAAATGTACCCTTGATAGAAGAGGTTGATAATTGTGATTCCATCGCATTCTATCTCAAGTTAGTTCCCCTCATCTTCACAAAGTTGCTTTACATATCCTCACAATGTTTGGCTCCACTTACCAGTGTGAGTCTGCTTTCTCAGCCATGAATTTAGTAAAGAACAAATACTGCTCCATCATCACCAATGAACACCATCATTGTCTTAGACTGGCTATCACACTATTTGTACCAAAGATCAGGGAATTGGCAAGAAGCACGAAGTGTCACTTTTCACACAAATGATGATTAATCACACAATTCAACATGTACACTCAGGGTCAAAACTAATCATCCCCCCTTTTCGTATTTAACAAAGAGGGATGAATAATTACTTTTGAACAGGACTGTACATTCTATAATTGCAATATTGTGTGCACTACAGAGATTTAGTTTATTTATTTTCATTCATCATTTCTCCTTCAACAAGAGTGCAATGTTTGACAATTTTTGACCACAAAATACATACATTACCTTCAGTGTTTTATTGTGTTAAAAGATAATCAGTTTTTTCCTTTTGTTCATCTCCCCCCCCCCCCAGTCTGACTCTTCAGCAAGATGGATGGGTGGTTACTTTTATGACTTCTTTTGATCCATGGGCTCTTATTCATTTTTTAATTCATTTGCACTGTCAACAGATTTTGAGATTATAAATGCATGTACTGTACATGGAAATAGACTGATACAGTACGTATGTAATGGATTCCTCCCCTACAAGAGCCGTTTGTCGCTGAGTAGCCGAACCTTCTCGAATTCCCCAGCCTACGCCTCCAGCGCCGCCTACGGAGCGGGGGTCAACTATCTACCCACGCCTACCCCCGCCTTATAAGACCTGACACCGCTGTGACCAGCCTCTTTCTACTCACTGCCACCAGCAAGCAACACCTCCTCCTCCCCACCAGCCTGGCGGCTCCCGCCGGCGTCCCACAAGCTGTGTGTCCTCCTCTGGGCACGTGTACCCTTCATTTGTTTGATATTGCCTCATATTAAATGAAGTCTCATCCAAATCTTGACCATCTAGAAAATTTGTGTAACTGAACCTTAACATAGAGTATTTGAGTACCCCTGAACTATACCCTTCAGCTGTATGCTTCAGGTACTAATTCACTCCTGGAATTTTCTGAAAATATCCTTCATCACTTACTGTAACATTGAAATCTTTTCATCCCATGATAATGAAAATATATTTTTTTTTTTATAATGTTTACAGTATATAAAATAAAAATACATACACAAGGCACTAATCCTTCAATGTGTAACCTCTACGAATAAATGACCTTCATCCCTGATGCTTTCAGTAAAATTCATGAACCAGTTTCTGAGATACAGCTGTTCTTTCCTAGTACAATACTGTACCTCTAGCAGCAGACCTACTACTGCTTCATAAAGCAATCTATATAATTCTCTTGAGGCTTTGTCTCAAAAGACCTCACAAACTTAGCTTAGAAAGCAAATTTTAACCTACTGTCAACACACATTTGTCACAACAAAGAATCACAGTTGTATAGTATTATTTAAACCGGTTATATTAGGGATTCTCACTAAATTTACAGATATACTATGTTAATTTTTTCCAATCTAAACCAGCTGAAAAGTAGTTTACCTATAAAGCTACACGGAGACAATGGCTTTCACCGTTGACTGTGACAGGTGACAGTTGAACACTCCCTGTGGGTGGCCAGTCAAGTGAGGCAGCCAGTCCACACACTCCGATACCTTGCCAAGTCTACACCATGAACTTTTTTAGTTTAAAATTACTTTGGTGCAATTAAAAAAATATGAGAACTCAATAATATGCAATTAATGGTATAGAGAATAAAGTAATCTCAAAGTCGGTTAAATTTTGTTGGTTAATACGGTAAATTAAGGCGAAGTGTGTACCAACAAACGAAAACGGACAAATTACTGTAAACATGGAAATAATATATAATACTTAAATAATTATAAACTTTTTGTTAATAATTTTTTATGAAACATTTGAGTGATTATTTGTTGTTTGAGAATAGAATGGATAGAAAGCAGCCATTACCAAACATTGCGTCGTGATGGTCGTCGTGTGGTGAACTGATCAAGTGAACCATGGCTGACGAGGAGTTTGACGGGGATGAGTGAGTATTACTTCACTAAAGGTGTTAGATAGAATACAAAGAAGAAGAAGTAGTAGTAGTTGACTTTATTTATGTGACTGACCTAACTGTAAAATGGAAGATGTGTATTGCAGCGCCACATGACACCACAAGTTAGGAGTTGTAGGTGATGGGCCTTCATATAGATAGTTATGTGTCTATGAAACTTTACCAGAATCGGTGGTATTATTTTACTTTCGGATATAGCGCCCCGAAAGTTATAAAGGACCTAAACATTTAGATCTTGCTATTCTGAGCATTTTGAACCCCATATATACATGGCGGAAATGAATAATAGCGACACAATTGAATTTAATTGATTTTAATTAGTTTTCAGACTTTATCTCTGTGAAGAGATGTTATCTGCACATCACACATGAGCAATGTTTACTGACGTCATCCAGTCGTGACCAATGAGGTTTCGATATTACGCGATTTTTTCGATGAATCACAATTGATTTTTTTTCAAAGGAAGCAGCCTGTGTATGATTTTAATTTCATTGACCAGTTTCACAATGGCTGTGGTGGAGGTTGGTTGTCGTTTGTGCTCCTACGACTATTTAAGTTTATTGCCAAGTTTTACAAGAAAGATGATTGTTCTATCCAATTCTTACGTATGCCTGGTCCTTCCACTTCTAAGGTATTGTACTTTTGGACATCGCGAGCCCCAGAGTTTTTAACTCTTGAAACATTTAGGTTAGTTTAAGCCAGGCCTACCGAGGGCAGAGCCCCTGGCTAGGGGTCAGGTTCGGTTAGTTGTTAGGTTAGGTTTTGTTAGGTCAGATGACGCGTTTTCGTTTTCTCCCCCACCCAAAAACTCTGATTTCCCAGGCTCTCCCCTATTATTATTAGGGGGGGGGGCAAAAACTAGCAATTGCCACCAAAAATTGAAGGTCAGATTCGTTTAAAACACACCAAAACACACTGGAAAAACATATTGGTCAACCCTAGGGACTCGTGTCCTAAATTAAAAATTTACCGAATTGTTAAATATTCGTCCATTGGCTGCCCTCGGATTTTGATACAAAAATAGGGTAAATTTATAGAAAATCTCCGATCTTTCTTTGGATATTAAAAATGTATATACTGTACTGTACAGTAAACAGAATAAATGAGCAACATTTGCATGTGGCAGGAAACAGTTTTGTTAGTGTGACAAAATGATGTTGCTGTAACTTACTTAAATATTTTATCAACAGTGTTAGTACCCGGTAGATTAAACCAAACTTTGCCAGAACATAAAATGTTAAAAGAAAAAACCAAGAAAGATTATTTTTACTGTAAAAATATCTAAACATTACTGATTCCTAAAGTACTGTAGAACACTTAAGCTAAAAAGAAATTGCTGTATTGCAATTTTTTTTTAATGAATGAGGTGGGAAGCAATGGTGTTGGTGGTTGGTGATGGTCATACTTTACTTAGTGAGAGAATGGAAGTTGGTCTAGTGCTCTCATAGGCTATTTTTCGAAACGGTATTGTACCAATAATGCTCAGCCAACTCAACCTGCAGATCTTCAATTGTGGTGAGTATGGACTGTATACTGTACAGTTTATACTGGTACAGTAATATTGCTGTTATCCGGAACATTTGATGCAGAGCACTTCCAGGAATGACTTTCTCAAACCTGGAAAAATCTCTTAACCCCAGAATTTTATCCGGTTACTGGGATAAGTTTCCAAGTGTCTAAACTATGTACTTACAGTATTCTTGCTTGCGTGTGTCCTGGTACAGTAATGTATGGTACGCAAACACTGTCCACTGCTATACGTGGTAGCGTATGTACGGCTGTTCACACAAACAATGTTAATTTCTAGTAAAAATACACACTAATCACTGTTCGCATCTTAACACTGGTATAACACTGTGTTCTAGGTTGATTCTGTCGTGGTACAGTAATGTACAGTACTGTACAACACAAAATGTACACAAAAATGGCAATAAGCTAGAGATAATCCTTGTGGAATGACTGGTGACAATGAACTAAGCGTACCCAGATGCTACCCGTGGGGGGGCTTAATGTGGGAGATGCATCAGCTTAACATGCATCCCATGCAGTGACATGACAGTATTAACCAATCTCAGCATGGGAACCTATGAGCTAAGTTACCCAAGCAGTCTTCCCACCCATACACCCAGAACTGAAGACCCAGGAGTATCGTGCAATGTATCGTCGCTTTCTGGGATCCTTTGTTTCCAGGCCTGGAGCAGAAAAGCCCGGAAAGATTTTCTCGCCATTTGCTCAGAATTTCTCCTGATGTTGTGTTCTATTTCATCCTCAGAATTTATTCCTAGGCCCAGAGCAGAAAAATTGCAGTACAGTACTGTATTAGCCAAGTGGTCTTCCCACCCTCACCCACCCATGCACCCAGCATATGAGGACCAGGGAGCATGATGCAATCTTTAGTCACTCCCCGGTACCATTTTCCCCAGGAGAAAAGTTAAGAGAGATTTTTGCTCCATTTGCTCAAAATTTTTCCAGAAATTGTGCATGACTGTACTGTATTTCATTCTTGGAATTTGTTCCCAGAGCCCGGAGCAGAAAAATTGTAGTGTTACGGAACTTGGAATTTGCTCCCATACCCGGAAAAGAATTGGGGAGTTTCTGGAATTTTTCTCGGAATTTAAAAAAAATCCACTTGATTTTCAACCTCGGAAATTTGTTTTCAACCCGGAATCGAGATAAATTTACCAGAAAAATTCCGAGTGAATTTCAGTTCTGGCTACTGGAAGATTTCAGCTAAGAGAGACTCCAGCTAATGGAGAAACAGTACAGTACAGTATTACTACTTTCCAGTTTAATATTGTTAGGTTAGGTTATGGGATCAAAATTCTCTGGGCTGGAGTGTATTTTGGTATTTTGTATAGTACTGTACGTATTGGGTTTTGGGGTAGAAATATTTGGGCTAGAACACATCTCGGCTTTTAATATGGGATCCTTTCAGAAATTGTATTCCATTTAGTGAGAATTTGCCCAACAAACTCTTTTTCAAGAACACACGTGTCTTTATTTATAAATGCTGAAGTTTACTTGTCATTCCATTTAGTAATTGCTGTTTTTTATCTTTGCTCTCCCTTAGTGCTGGCGATGACTTTGAAGAAGTCGAAGAGGATGAAAATCTTGATGACTTACAAGAGGGAGAGGTAAGGCATTAAGTATGGAATTCTATTGTCAAATTTCCATTGTTTCATTGTATATTTCTGCATCATAATTATTGTTATTGAATACTGTACTGTAGTTTATAAAATTTCCTGTTTCATTGTTACAGCCCCAACATTTATTGTACTTTCCTGTCCATTTGTATGTCTAAAAAACTGATCGTAATTTATTTGTATTTTTTTAATACACATAATTTTCTTAACTTCTTGTTTTTCATTACAGTTTAATCTCACTTTGCTTGGAATTGCTAAGAGACTATCTTTTCCACTGCAGAATAAAAAAATAAATAAAAAATGGACAGTACAGTACATTATTTATTCTGGGTACAGTAATCTAATTTGTAAGATTTAGAATGTTTTGTAATGATATTTTCTGTTTTCAGGAAGATGAAAATCAGACGGAATTGTTACTTTTAGGGGAGGGTCAACCAGTGCCTGTACAGAAGCGGATCACAACACCTTATATGACAAAGTAAGACTTTTTTTTCAAGGTATATACAGTAGGTATTCTATGTTTTCTGGTACCCTCAGATGTGGCAGCATTCAGAATTGCTTTGAAGTCTACGGGCGGTATAGTTTCTTTTTCTCAGAACTATCTCATATAGGACATACCACTCAGAGGTACTGTGCTCTCCATATCTGTAATTCATTCCTCACATGTATACATGAATCTATGGTTTGGGCAATATCATTTCACTCATTTCCTATACAAGGGGTCCCCAGGATGTTCTTAAGTCAGATTTGTATGTAAGTCGGAACACATGTTATGTGCATACCGTCCTTACAGAACAATGTTTAAAAATCCCACTTTATCATAGCTTAAGTCCTTATATACATCTAAAATTACTTAATATAAGACAAAAGAAGAAATAGAATGACAAAATACAGTAAATGAAAGAAAAAAGTCATCAGGTAAGTAAAATAGCTGGTACTGTAAATTTCAAGTTTAACCCTGTTCGTATCGGCGGGCGTTCTTAAGTCGGCGACCCCCTGTATAAGGTTTTGTCCCTACTTGCATGAAAGATGGACTCTAATGGGAAAGCAGAAAATGTTTATCATATAATGCTATTCATTAATTTGACTTCACAGTTTTGAGTATTTGATATCTTATGGAACTGGAGTTTGCATTTGATGATTGTAAAGATTAGACAATAGCGGTGTGGATTTGTAAGGGAAAATGTGGAATTTGGAAGCGAAGAAATGTTTGGAGATATGGATATTGCTGGCAGCATTTATCTGGTAAAATGTGATAGGAACACGGAACATATTTTTGAGTGTACTTATATGTGGAAAGTGCGCTGCCTTGAAAGTCAGTAGTACTGTATACAGCATTGTTGAGATGTGTACATGGAAACTTTTGGCAATTTGTTCAGAAATACATGATGCTACAGGAGAACATATTGAAAAATTGTAGTTCATATAGACAATTTTTTTTTTACAATTAATTTACTTTAAAAAACACTTAATTTCTTTATAGCAGCAGACTTTTTAGACTCTTTATATTTATGGAATAGATGTTATTCTTCAGCACTGTTTGTCAAAAAAATAATTAGGATCTTATTGATACAAAGAGCATCATTTATTTCATAGTATACTGTATCGCTATTTTCCCCTTACAGATATGAAAGAGCTCGAGTGTTAGGTACAAGAGCGCTGCAGATTGCAATGTGTGCACCAGTCATGGTTGAAATAGATGCAGAATCTGACCCACTGCAGATAGCTGCAAAAGAATTGAGAGAACGAAAAATTCCCATCATCATCCGACGATATTTGCCAGATGGATCTTTTGAAGACTGGGGTATAGACGAACTTATCATCAGTGATTTCTGAATCCATCATACCAGTTGCTGGTTAGACATGAAATTTGTTCAACAGCTATTTATTAAATATTTTGGTTGTCTTGATAGATTCATGTGTGTCTTTAGCTATCTTACCTTTATAAATGGAAACCAACATAGGTGTACCAATATATGTGGCGTCACAAGATGGAAAGGCGTAAGAAAACAATTATGTTTTGAGTAAATTGCGTTTAAAGGTAAGAAACGCTTAATTAACTCAAGTACAGGCATCCCCCGTGTTACAGAAGGGTTGCGTCCCCGGAAAATTGAGCATATCGTGAAATTCCGTAATGCGAAACCTATTTTCCCATTGACTTCCATTATAAAACTGGAGATGCGTTCCAAAGGAATTTTTTTCGGCCCCAGAAAAGTAATTCAAGCACTTTTATGAATGAAAATAAACATTTATAAACACAATACAGTACATTAAATAATTTATGATATTCCTTCTTAAAACATCAAGTTTAATATCCAATGTAATGCCTTTGCACCTTGTTTTTGTGGGCACTTCCACTTGATGGCCTCTTTCCAGTCATCTTGATTAAGGGTAATGCACTGTACTGTACTGTACTTACTGTATGTTTGTAAAGGTTAAATCCAACTGCCGGGGCGAGAAACATGCGCGCACACTGGATGTAAACAATGGAGTGACTCAGCGTGGCGACGCCACGCTTGGCAGTAGCAAACACCAAGAAATCCACACCAAACAAATTATATTTTTTAACAATTTTATATGGCGATTTTTTTTTAAATTGTTGAAATTGACCCCAATTTCCGTAAGGGCGGATTTACGGGCCGTATCGCGAAATTATTGGTCATAATTTACAAATTCCGTAAGAGCAAAATTCCGCAACCAGGGGTTCCGTAACGCGGGATATGCCTGTATCACCAAATTTTCAACATTTTGGTGTTATTATTTATGTTCTGAAAAAAAAATTCTTGTCGGTAGAAATACAGTATTATGCAATGTGCTGCTTTTTATTTAATTTTTTTACAATTATAATTACACTAATTACCATTAGTGTGTACACGGAATAAGCTAATGAAAATGATACCATGAGTAGTTCACATAAAAGTATAGAAAAGGGTATTGTTGCCATTGACTGCGAAGTGGAAACTGGCATGTCAACAACACCGTGAAGCTATAGACTGCACATCCTAGCATGACACTCATTGGCTGAAGGCAATGGGTAAGCTAGAACCTGACGTTACACCACACTTAGGAATTGTGCATCAACTTTGTTCCTTAGACTACCTGGGATGAAGGTCGCTTTTGCTATGGCTCACTCTACAGGTTTCAGCCTGTGAAGGGAGAGAGAAAACGGAAAATTGACAAGGTGGCGAGTTCGCCCATCCTTCTTGTGAAACCTTATATTTGAAACCTAATTATTGATAAATTAATTGCCAGCTTTCAACTAGATAGTTTAATGGTCAAGAGTTTCATGAATTCATTCATCTTAAACCATATTCATTTTGTAATAAAGTAATTAAAATGTTTTTTTTTTTATTTAACCAAAGAAGGAATTTGTGGGGAAAAAAATAGTGAAAGAACTGTGTCTAAATAGAGGATTGTCTGGAAATAATTAAGTTGTTAATAAAGGGTGTAAGGTACCATCAGTGGACCACGGACCTCATCTTGAATACTGTCATCAAGAAGATTGTCCCTAATACCCACCCTTCCTCTACTGAGGAGACAGGTCATGTGACCTGCTTCCTATGTTCTATGTCTTTCTCCCTTTGCTTTGTGCTGTTAATTGACTGAAGAGGGTTCTATAGTGCATTTTTTCCCAGCTGAGCAGAGATGCCCAGCCCCCTCCTCAAGAGTTACAGCTGATTGGCTGTTGCAAATCTGTCCAATTTCGTCCTGAAGTAATGATGTATTTTTAAAGGAGTTTATTCATAATCGTTGGGATGGCCATTTATGACAAAGATATTTAGCTAAATTATATAATTACACATACATTCATTATTTCAAACTTGAGCAAGTAGGAAGTTTATCAGAAGTCTTTTACATGAATTGACTGTTAAACTCTGGTAGCAAATTCACGCTTTCGGAGGACGCATATAATATACAGTCTGCACGGAAAGTTAAGTCGCAGTAGAGTCGATGAACAAACTTCTCACGTAAATAAGTTAACATGTTGTGAAGGCTGCCCCGGGATGCAAGATGTTAGTACGCTTGGTTGGTTGGCAAGTGGTGACACTTGGCAACTGAGCACACGTCACGGCTTACTCTCAGTGCGCCTCTGGCAATCGTGAGAGGAAGATTAACTCTGCTGGTTTGCCCTCCCCGTGGCCATTTTTTGCCTCGTTTACGGTGCTTTACCCCGACATACTGGCCATAACATCGGCAGTATTCCCCTTCATCTAGATACCTTTTTAGATCAGTGTTTATCTTCTATTTCCCACAAATTTGATGTACTTGGGTTCTGTGAGACCAAACTCACTAACGATATTGAACATTTGTATAACATTCCTAATTATAATAGACACTGCGTCAACACATCACGACACAGTGGTGGTGTCGCCCTATATGTTGATATCAAGTATAACACTTCTGTAAGAGATGATTGAAAGGTTCAGGAGGAGTACACGGAGAGTGTTTTCACTGAATTACGTAATGACACAAAATATCCCAGTAGGAGGTAATCTACAGAAGACCCCACACTAATGTAAGGAATTTTCTTTATTAAATTTTCGGAGCTTATCTCCATCATAAGTTCAGAGAGGAAACGTTGCTACATTACAGGAGATTTCAACCTTGATCTATTAAAATCAGAAACCGACACCTCAGTATTAGACCTTCTTGCTACCTGTCATTCTAAACTCTTCTTCAACACTATAACCAAACCCACTATAGTAACTGGCACCTCTGCCACTGTGATAGATCATATCTGGACTAACATTACTCCTAACAATCTTGCAAGTGGAATTATTTATAACAGTTGCAACTTCTCTTGCATCTTCAATGCTTGCTTTGATAAATGCTTCCCGCTCAAGACTAAGTCAGTTAAAACTGTATCCATTTCCAAACCCTATATCACAAGCGAAATTAAGATAATGATAAAAGAAAAACTCAAACTCCAAAGGAAATTTGCAAAGACACATAACTTTTGGTGATGCTTACAGAAGTATCAGAAATAGAGTAACTCAAGCAGTTAGAAATGCCAGCATCAGGCGACGGTAAGAAAACCTGGAATGTCATAAATTCGATTCAGAACAGGAACACTGCCTTCGGCCCCCCACTCAGCTTTTATGATAAATGATTCAGTTCTAACGGAACCCTCCCCCATTGCCAACCACTTCAGTGAATATTTTATTAATTTTGGCATAAATCTTGCAGAGAGCATCCCTGATCACCATGAGGAATTTAAAGCCTACCTGCAAAACAGACAGCAAAATGAGCTTTTCTTATCCCCCGTCACAGCAGATGAATTACTGGCCATCATAAAAATGTCCAAAGATGCAGCAGCAAGCAAAGACAATATACCAATGAGCATCATTAAGAAAGTAGCCCACTTATTACTACCTGTTCTCCTACACATTTGTAACTCCTCCTTCACTAGTGGTGTCTTTCTGGATAAACTAAAAATTGCTAAAGTTCACCCAGCATATAAAAAATCTGGGGACAAAGGACTCTCCAAGAATTACCGCCCCCAATCAGTCCTCCCAGCTTTGAGTAAGATACAGTGTGTATATATATATATATATATATATATATATAATATATATATATATATATATATCTATATATATATATATATAATTTTTTTTTTTAAGATTTCTAGCCCAGAAAATTGCCCATTTATATTTTCCAGGTGAAAACTCCCAAAACTGCAAAAAAAAACCATCGTAAATAATCTTAAATGTGCTTATCTGATTAGTACCAGCAGCATTTGTAAGTTGAGATGACTCCAGCAGCTGAATGAACTCACACTTGGTAGTGAAACAAACCACAAATCTGTTGAAAATTTCATAATATTGGCCATAAAAACATTCAAGTAAAAAAAAAAAGTTTATAAAACTGCAGGTACCATATGTTCTTCTTTGTTCATTAATCGTTTTTACTATAAATATCCAATAAAACAATTCCGAAAAGGGTAACGAAGTTCAGCTATTAGTCACATCTTCAAATTCAAATGTTAGTTAGTTTTTACGTCGTGCACTGCACTGCAGGGTCCTTCGCATTTAAAACTAAGGTTTTCGACACGACGAGCCCCATTAAAGTAAGATGTTGATTAAAACTCTGGACATACATCTCCACACTACACTCGGCAGCCAAGCCTCCCGTGACCTTTTGGCTTCTGGGTAAAGGAGGTTGAGTCTCTCCTTAGTCTTCCTCCTGTTCAGATATGCTCCATGTGGTTCCCTCGTGCTATTCCATGGATTCTCCCTGAAGTTTAAGTTTGTCAGTATTTTAACGAAAGGAAGGACTTGCTCCTTCCCTGTGCGATTCACTTTTTTTTTTTTAGAGCACGCCGGGTCCCATTGACTGTTCGACACCTCCTGGTGGAGTGCCCTAGTCTTAGAGATCTCCGTCATAAAGCGCCTCTCTGAATGCCGGGGGGGCACTGGAGGGGACATTTCCTTCATGGAGGAAGCCAACATTTTACACATGCTTTAAGTTTTCTCTATTAATGTTTAAATGGTTTTTATGAAAGTTTTATGCTATTTATTTATGCTTTTTGTCTTGCAATATTGTTTTTAGCCTTCTAAGCATTTAGTTTAATTTAACAGCATATGGCCTAAGCTGCTGCGTCGCCATGGATGTTATTACCACAAACAATGAATCACTGCTCCCCCAGCTCAGCCTTCTAACTACCGTACAAAGAAATGTATATTACCTTTGTGTTTGCCCTTATGATAATTATTTCTTTTAATTTTGTTCACAATACAGTAAGTCCTCGTTTAACGTTGCCCCCGTTAACGTTGTTTCAATGTCGCTACTCTTTAGATACCACAATTCGGTTAACGTCCCGACGACTCAATATAAAATTTTTGCGTCGTCATGGACTACTTTGTACAGCGCATCACTTTCTCTTGTCTTGCCTAGCTAGGCTCTATCAGCTTGGAGTGTTACCTCTCACTCACGATGGCAGTCTTTGTTAGGCTTCCACGGCGTTCTTACATGTTCAAGTGTTTTTGCTCGTATTCCTGTAATATAAAGGTGCGGCCGCACGTGTCCTTCGACATATCGGAAACACTGCTGGCATCACCGCTGTCGACATGTTGGATACATATTTGCAACAATGTAGGCATCACTGTAGTAAACATGTCGGTTATATGTCGGTAATATGTTGGTAACAGAGGTGAAGCCAAAAGGTCGTCCACACGTGTCTGCAGACACGAACTTTAGATGTGTGATGTTGGTTTTCATGTGTCATGTGTGTTACACACAATAAACATAAACACATTAATATGTATCATTCCTTACCTATATTCCAGCGTCGTACATAGGATGTGGCATGTGTTTGTCAACCAGGAAGCACATGCTTTGGTATGCAAACCACTGGCTCCTAGGCATCTTGCGCACCATCTCCAGATTTCTGCTCCTTGGTCTTCTTCATTTCTCTCCTGAATTGTGCAATTAGGTTCTTCATCTTCTCCACCTCGCCTTTTTCCAAGTGCAGGGCATCGGCGATGTTTCTCCATGCGTCTGCTCTCTTGATCTTATTCTTGTAATTCACATATGTTGGGTCCCATAGTACTCTGTGCGAGTGGTATAGTTCTATTAACAAAATAGTTTGCTCCCGGGTCCACTCCATCCCAAAATTACAGACAGAGCGATGGGTAAGTCCGCCCTGATGCAGCTGTTGTGTGTATCTGTGAAGCTGCTCGTTCAGATACTGTTGCTGCCAAGATATTCCCGCCTGAATTAAAAAACATTATTGAGGAAGGAGGCTACTCAGCGAAGCAAGTCTTTAATGTGGATGAGACTGGCCTCTTTTGGAAGAGGATGCCAGATAGAACCTATATCTCAAAAGAAAAGAAAGAGCGCCAGGTTTTAAAGCTGCTTGGCATAAACGCTGCTGGTGACTTCAAGCTGAAGCCTATGCTAATTTCTCAAGCTGCTAACCCACGGGCCCTGAAAGGTTACAACAAGGAACACCTTCCTGTCATTTACAGGGCAAATAAGAAGGCATGGATAACCAGCGCCATATTTAGCCAGTGGTTAACCGTGTATGCCATCCCTGCAAGGAATATTGTGCCAAGGAGAACCTAGACTTCAAAATTCTTCTTGTCGTTGACAATGCTCCAGCTCATCCTCCCAATATCGACGACTTACATGACAATGTTCGAGTCATCTTCCTGCCTATCAACACAACAGCACTGATACAGCCTATGGACCAAGGCGTCATCGCCGCATTCAAGGCGTGCCATGCATCAACTGCTAAAGGCTACTGACGGAGAAAATATACCTACGATCCGATATTGGTGGGGCTTCAACATTCTTCATGCAATCGACAACATTGGAAAGGCATGGGAAGAGGTTTCAGAAAGTTGCCTAAATGGTGTGTGGCGTAAACTGTGGCCCGAGTGCGTCAACAGTTTTATGGGATTCACGGACTTAGTCCCCAGCAGTGAATAGGGATATCCTCAGCTTAGCTAGACAGGCAGGCTTTCATGAGCTGGAATCAGAGGATATTGAGCAAGTCCTTGGAGGATTTGCAACAACTAGCAGAACACAGTCCCGTTGAAGATGACGAAGAAATAACACAACGAATGCAAACTACCAAGAGGATGGCAGAAGCATTCAACATAATTCAGCAAGGAATGCAAATCTTCGTTGATGACGACCCAAACAGAGAATGTAGCTCAAAGATTCAACTCAGCATTGATGACAGGCTTGCTTGTTACAATGAGATCTACAAGGAGAGGAAGAGGATCATTAAGCAGTCAAAGCTGAATTCTTATTTAGTCGCCGGAAGGCAGCTACATCTTCACAACAGCCTGCAAGCGAGGAGGAGCAAACAGCATCCGAGGAACCTCAGTCAGGGCGGGAGGATGAGGCACCAGCCGTGTCCCAGTGACTCCCCACCTTCCTCCTCCACTCCACCCATCAGTGAGTACAATAAAAAATTAATTAATTATATATATATATATATATATATATATATATATATATATATATATATATATATATATATATATATATATATATATATATATATATATATATATATATATATATATATATATATATATATATATATATATATATATACATATATATAAATACATATATATAAATTAAATGCATATATATAAATAAATACATATATATAAATAAATGTATATATATATATATATATATATATATATATATATATATATATATATATATATATATATATATATATATATATATATATATATATATATATATATAATATATATATATATATAATATATATATATATATATATATATATATATATATATATATATATATATATATATATATATATATATATATATATATATATATATATATATATATATATATATATATATATATATATATATATATATATATATATATATATAATAAATATATATATATATAATATATATATATATATATACAGTCCCTTCATTACTTACGTTTCTACTGAGTCGTGTACTATTCTGGCGGAGGCTGGCAAGCGCCATTTGGACCAAACCTCCCGCCATCCACCATTGTTGTGTAGGCGAAAATGGTCTGCCTAAGGTCGCCCAGTCATCAAAACATTACCAGTTCTTCACCGCCACCCACTAGCCCCAAGTCAGTGATAGTGATAATTATAGTGAGGATATGGACTTATATGAACTTTTGGGGGTTTGACAAAGAGGCCTGCAAGCCTCTGTGGTGGATAGTGATACAATTGATACAAGTGATACAGGTGAGGGCCAATAATCTGCCCTCTGCCTCGGAACAACCCGCCATCCCGTGTGCCCAGCCATCTTTTCTACTAATGTAAGTGTTAAAAACCTAATATTATTGATATTTCTCTTAATTATTAATTGTGTGTGCATGCCATCATAAAGTTAAGATAATATTTTACTACAACAATAGTTGTGTATCGTCAAAAAGTGGAGTTTGGGGAAGTCGGCCCGGACTCTATTTCAATTAATCCATATGTTATGTTATTCACTACAGCGTTCCTCACTTTCACGATTCCTCCGGGTTACATTAACAGCGTAAAGTGAGGTTAACTATATATATATATATATATATATACTGTATATATACATATATATACATACATATATATATATATATATATATATATATATATACACACCTAACCGACTACGACTACTTGGACTTACGACCGTCGGGACTTACGACCCGCCGCCAGAATTTTTTTTTTTTTTTTTTTTCAAAATGACACCGCATTTTCTATACGAAACGTTTCCAGTTAATGTAGTCTCCATGTATAATTAGAAAATTAGGGCCCCATGTGCATTCAGCTGACTACATTAAAGGTTAAGTGCTCAGTCACACTGTATCCATTCCTTATTTTATTACTTTCACTGTACTGTATCCATTCATCATTATTCATTGCTTTTACTGTACTGTACTGTATTTCATTGTAGATTTTTTATTAATTTTTTTTTTTTTATCTATCTCAGACTTACGACCATGTCGGACTTCGACCTGGTTTAGATTCTAACCCGTCGTAAGTAGGAGTCTGAAGTATTAATATTATATATATATATATATATATATATATATATATATATATATATATATATATATATATATATATATATATATATATATATATATATATATATATATATATATATATATATATATATATATATATATATATATATATATATATATATATATATATATATATATATATATATATATATATATATATATACACAGTGAACCATCACTTTACGTGGTCAATTGAACCCACGGCGGCCCGCGTAAAGTGAACAACATAACATATGGGATTAATTGAAATAGAGAACAGGCCGACCCCCAAACTCCACTTTTCAGACACAATACCTACGTTGTAATAAAAATAACTTCTTAATTTTATGATGGTATGCACACAATTAATAATTAAGAGAAATATTAATAATATTAGGTTTTTTAACACTTACATTATTAGAAAAGATGGCTGGGGTTGGTTCCGAGGCAGAGGGCAGATTATTGGCCTCTTTGTGAAACCCCTCAAAGTCCATGTAAGTCCAAATCCTCACTAATTATCACTATCACTGACTTGGGCCGGCTGTGGTGGGTGGCGGGTGAAGAACTCGGTAATGTTTTGATGACTGGGCGACCTTGTGCGCACCCTGCTCGCGCCACTTACACAACATGGCGGATGGCAGGAGGTTTGGATCCAAAAATGGCGCGGCTCGCCAGCCGCTGTCCTTGTAAAGGGGTACACGCACCGCGGAATGTGAGCATTCCTGTTTCGGCAGGGTACCGAGTAAACGTGGAAACGCGGAATGTGGGACCGCGTAAAGAGATGGTTGAATATATATATATATATATATATATATATATATATATATATATATATATATATATATATATATATATATATATATATATATATATATATATATATATATATATATATATATATATATATATACTGTATTTTATTTGGCAGCCAAGGCGACTGTGAAACCGCTCGGTTAATTTGGATTCTTTCCGAATTCAAATCGTTTAATTCAATTGAAAAAAAACTTAAATATGAGTTATGTATAACAATTCAAATTAACGAGGCTACAGTGTATATATATTGTTACACCAGAGCTTTTGCAGTTTCAGACTATTCAGTGCAAGGAGGGATTGCAGCAAAATGTTTTCTATTGTTAAATAAGTTTTCAGTGAATCCTAAATGAAAAAAAAAAAGGTTACACAAAAATCTAGTTGTACCGACTTGTACTTTTTATTAGTTAAATCAGAAATGTTACTGATATGCATATAAAATGGAAGAATACAGTTAATCAACGTGAAGTCGACAGTGACAATAACAAAGCAAAGTATGTAAGACTCGCTTTTCCCATTTTCCTATTTATATATTGCGTTGTCAATGTACCGAGCGTGTTTAAAGTCACACTCAATTCCCGTCAAAGACTAGAGAGGAGCATTAATAACTTAAGAGATCTACACTACCCAAAGCATAAAGCAGATAATGGGAACTTCCTGAAATTGGATTTGTGTAAAAAATTTCTATAAAAGTCAATTTTCATTCTCTTTAATTTAATATAAATTATACAAATATCTCCACTGGATCAAGTAATCACAATGTAATTTATGTAAATTTGGACTCAAGAACTCCTATTAGAATTTTTCCTAAATAAGCAGAGGCACAGCATAGAGGTTGATTTTTTTGTCTCAGAATCAATATATGTACTGTACTGTATTGTGAGTAATCATGCAACTGGAGCTGTTTTTCGGGTAATCTTAGTCTGTGACTAGTTTTAATCCAACCCCAAAACTGAAATCTACAACTAATAAAAAAACTGTACAATATAGACAGAGAATGGATTGGTGAAATTAAATTATTTTATTGGGGTGTACCACAACTTGAAGGATAAGTAAAATCTAATTAAAAATTGAGCTATCAACCAAGAAAATCCCTAAAATCAGTGCCAAAGATATGATGAAATAAAATATATCTACTGATGCTGCAAAAATACATATATAAATCCCTGTACCTCTATGCAATTAAGATATAGTTATTATCTTGTGTGACTCCAGTATTCTATACAATGAGTATAGCAAAGACAATCCATGTTCTCTATCTTCATTATTCTCTGCTAACATTATGTAAACTTGGAGACAATTTTGCTATTTGCATATCCTATATGTTAAGTTTGAAAAGGCAACAAAGGTTAAGACTTGAGCTTGTGTCAGACATGAATGAACTGCTCATCAATTTTCATTTGTGTCAGCTTTCACAGATATGGGATCTCGTGTACCTAATAAATAAGCTACTTATAGCTTGGCATTTATGCATGTGAAAAAAAAAAGATGTAAAAAAAAAACATTAACTGAGCTTATAGTACTTGAAGTTATTAATTATCAGAATATTACTAGTTTAATAGAATTGTAACCTATCAAACACTAGGATTAAACAGAATGAAGTGCAATGTAGCCACTTTCTGTGGAAACAGTTTACATCCCTTAGACATGAGTTTCATAATGATTATTCATGCAAATATTATTGCACTTTGTCTCAGGAAAAACTTTGCACTATATATAATTGTCAGCAATCTTTAGATTTTCTTATCTTACTATTATTACAGCCATCCTGCATATTGTCATTAAAATCTCAAGAATTTGAGCTGAATCTTACAAACTATCACATAAGGATATTCTGTATCATTTTTTTTAAATCACTTCTAAAACCTATAAGCTTCTATTTGTGAATGGCAACAACATAAATGCACCCAAACAATTGTAAGAATAACCCTAACATGAGACAGGACAAGCCTGATGCAATCAGCATCATGATAATACAGAATACTCTTAACATGATCTTAACCTGGAGTCTCATACCAGATAACCTTCAATTTTTTTTGTCCTCGGCATAATGATGCTTACGATCTTGAAAGCTTATTAACCCTTATAATCATCCTCATCCAGGTGTTTGTAACTGACAATAATTATAATCAATTTTAAATATGAAACAATCACATGAAAACAGAGTAGTATAATACACAAAGACTAAATGACTTGAATACAAATTTCCAACAAGTCATTGCCTTAGTAAATATTCTGGAATTTCATCACTCCTAGAGGTTAGGTCACACAGCATATTATTCTGGCTAAACGCAATTGTGTTTTATGGTTCAATTCCAGGTAATGGTTGCATATTTTCTGCTTTATCCTGCCTGTTCTGAGCATGTGGTAGTCAGAGACAGTCCCTTAATAGTAGTCTTGAACTGCTCCGGGATGGGGCATTCAACAAAGTCTCCATCATCCTTAGGGATGAGGACATTCATTTCAGTAGACTTGGCAGTAACAATCTCAGTCTTAAGAGACTCTTTGCTCAGGTACACTTGGCACCCATCTGTCTTTTCAATGGAGATTGTAGGCATGATACCCATCACCTGAAAGGTAAAACAAAATATTTAAATAATGAGAAGCTATCAAAACTTTTCTTGTACCATGTAGTTTTGAGTATATGTAAACCTGAAATATGAATAAATTTTTTTCAGCCTCTGCCACATGAAAATGGATGAGACATATTATCTTTTAAAATATTTATATACTTATTCACCAGTACCTCAACATATGCGAGTTCAACTCCCACAAATTCGACTATCCGCGAAACGACCTCAGAGGATTGTATCTATTAAAATAACAAAAAGGAAAGGTGCTTATTTTAAAAACTGTGGGAATTGGTCATGATGTGATGTCATGGCATCAGGCTGTAGCTGTTCTTTCCCACCAGTGTCATTTGAGATTTCTCCCACATCAACCACCGCCAGTCTCGTCTGAGAGCAATTCTAACGTTAATTATAACTGTCATTGCATGTGTTCTGGGTATCAAGTTCTATCTACAGGAGCGAACACAAACACCTGTAGAGTTTTCGTAGGTTCTATTTACTGGATAAACGAAGGAACACAAGGAAGGTGGCGCTCCTTACTCTGTATGGGGGGTCAACTAGCCTTTCGGGCAACATGTGGTAAGTGATACATTAACAGCTTCCATATGTCGCCAGGCACATTAATTAAGCATGTGGGACATGGTAAATACATTGCCACATGCTGCTAGCTAGGCTGAATAAATAGTGTATATAAATGGAGCACATACATAATATACATACAGTCATGACTCCCAAAAAGGCATTAACTGGTGGTAGTGCATCTGGTACAAAGATTGAAGAAAATAAAGTGCAAGATAAATTTGATAGCGGCATGAGTGTGTCAGGTGTTGGCCGTGCATTTGAAGTGAATGAGTCAACTGTTTGTTCCATAAAGATGAAAGGCAAGGAAATTAGAAATAGTGTTGCTCACAGTGCATCACACTGTGCTAAAGTTACACATCAGATATGTGATAAAGGTATGGAGAAGGTGTTAAGTATATGGACTGAGGACGAGTCTGGTGTGCCAAAAATTTAACAGATATGGTTTACAACTATGACCCATCAATGGAACTAAGCATCAAAATGAAGCAGACTATTGAGAATGGTTTTCAACTTTATCAAGAAATTTATAAATAACTAAAAAAAGAAAGCCAAACAATTGCCAATACCAATGTTTATAACGCCGAAGTCCAACCCCCCTCCCATCTCTCTCCTCAGCCTGGCGTTGTCTGCATCAACCCTGCCACCCTCACAGCCTGCCTCTCCCCTTCACTCCACCAATACAAATTATTCACATTCTGGATGCTCTCGGTCCAAAGGTCTTAAAGGAGGAGCAGTAATATCTTTGTATCATTACTGAGGCCTCTACAGCAGGTAAGAAATGTACACTTTTTATACATTAATAACACTGCAAATTATTTTGTTCCCATTATGTTGATATTACACTTATGACTGGGATAAATTATATATTCTTCCTAGTCATAAATTTGTTACAGGATAACTTAATATTCAGTATGTACGCTTGTTTCATTCACAGTGTTGTGTGTCAGGCGTGCGTTCGTGTTGATGGCGCAATGGTGGTGGTAAGGGCCGTGCGAGGCCGGCAGCAGACGATGGGTCGCCCGCTACTGCATTCTAGTTGACTTCCCTAACATCACACCACATTTACTTGCTTCTCATTTAATTTATTTATGATTAACACAAAATACAACTGTATAAAGTACCTGTACATACCCATGTATTATTTAGGGGGCTTAAATAATTTTTTTCTAATTTGATTTATTTTTTGTCCCTAATTTATGGTACACTATAATACAGTATTAATGAATGTTATTTGCAAGTGTCCCAGGAACCTATCCCTTACGAATGTTGAGGTACTAGTGTATATTATTCTACAAGTGATTTAATTTTAAAGAATAAGTATAAACAAATCAGGATATAGTTTTCTATGTTTATTACTATCATAATATATTACGGTAAATGATAAATATCGAACATACAAGCACCTCTTGATTTGTGTGTGTTTGGTTTCACCAATTTTAGAATAACGTGCGCGGTCCATTTACCCGGTATTTTTTTTTTTTTTTAATTTACGTGTGCTTAAGTTTGGAATCACACAACCATCGACAAACATCATTGGGCCGGCAGCTCGGTGGTGTAGCATTGCCAGAAGCACACGTACACAACTTCCCGCCTTGTAGCCCTCAGGACATGGATACCGTTTATAATCATGGTGTGCTACAGTAGACAGGAATACCTTGCCATTCACAACCTCGCTTATCCATAATTGATATTTTAACACACCCTATTTGCAAACCATATCCCGCTTATTCACAAAAGAAAAATTACAATACCCTACAGTAATATTTCAAACCGAGTGGATTAGCTGCAGCTCACATATTCCGATGCAAGTCCCATTTTACACACGTGCGGTTAAGAAATTAATGAAGTTCAATGCTTGCCTATAGTTTTGAATGATCCCTGCTGATGTGTGTTTACACCACCACCTTGGACACTTTTTAACTTATTATTATTTTTTTTGGTCACTGTCTTGAACCTATAACATCTGGAAAAACACCTGCGTGTGGTAGTGCTGGAAATGTGACACAGATCTCAAGAAAAATCATCCAATTCAGCTTTGGATGATTGGATAAATGGGAGGTCAGGTTTACAGCAAAATTCCTTTAAATTGAATTATTATGTCTTAAAAACACACCAAGCTGACATTAAAGTCCAATTTGGTTGAAACATTTTTTTTCCCCCCCATGGCCTAAACATATTTAGCCATGAAGTCACAATTTGAAAATTTTGTCAAAGTTAAGCTGCAAATCTACTGAAGTATAGTTAGGGTGAGAGCCTGTTCTCAACAGATTGAGAACCTGCCATTGTTTGGCCTTGAATCTGTTGAGTGTGAGGCAAAATCTAGCCTGGAAGGTTTTAGTGTATCTCTCCATATTTACAGTTCTACACTAGTTAACTACATTCTACTGTTCATAACCTTTATCCCAGCTGATAAGAGTACCATGTAGTTTAGTGTGGCTCATCATTGAAAACATTTGGGCTTGCACTTCAACTGTCTTTACCTCTTTACTAGAATTAATACAATGGTTGATTCTAAAAATACTCCATTACCGTTTCCCTCAATATTTCTCCCAAAACCTATTCTTAGTTATCAAAAGGTTTAGCAATGATAAAAGTCATGTGAACTAAGTGGGATCAAATGACAACTGAAATGTACAATGAACTGCTCCTTGCAAGTAAATTGGGATGGTAAATGGAAAAATTCTGGGGAGGGGGGATTTATTACGGGTTTAAAAGAGTTGTCTCATTATTCGGATATCTCTCATTCTCAGAAGTGCCCTGCACCAATTGTTCCACCTAATGGAGATATCACTGTATAAGCAAAACCATGAGGAAAAAGGGGGAAACCATAAACTGTAAGTTTACTATACACTTAAAATAAAAAAGACAATATTCTCACCTGAACTTGACAGGACTGGCAATTAACAACTTCTGCTGAAGACACAAGGTTTTCAAATACCACTGATGATTTCTTGCACGAATCTAGGATGACAGAATTTACCTTACCCTGTAGGGAAAAAATATCTATCTGTAATGAACATTTCAAGTCTAAAAATATGCTGTACTAGTATACATTATTTTTTTAGTCTTGGCAACAAAAATGGTTTTTCTTACTTCTTGTTACAGTTTCATAATATAATAAATCAGTCTCGCACTAATACAGTAAGACTTCATATGACTCGATTCTGAAAAACTGAAACTCTGGGTTATTAGAATAATAATAAAAAAAAAAGTCCTTTGCTACAGGGGAAACCCACTTAGTGTGGAAGACAAGTTTCTGGGGTACTTGCTAATTTCCTAGTCACCACTTGACTTCAGACACCTATAATGCCTAAGTATTTTACTTTTAATAATTTAATATATAATGCATATCTGTAACATACACATATGCAATTCTAGTACATGGGTATATTAAATATAATGGTGGTCTTGGCCATTGCACATATTGTCTTAATTTTTCCTAATTGTTTTCACTAAAGATTCACTTAACTCAAATATGTGTCCAACTGTCAATGTCCAATGAATTAACACTAACTTCCACTTCAACGATAACATTTTTACTAACTTTATTTATAACGTGCATAATATTTTTGAGCTATAGTATTCCAGAAATAAGTACAGTACTGTATTTTCACCTAAAAACTGACCAAAATATCAAGAATATACAGGATGCTGCCATATGGCATTACCCTGCTGTCATATGGCATTACAAGAATTATGACCAGGTTGCTGATCTGACTTTCTGCCCCATTTACACACAATTGCAGGGTCTCAATTGTTTCTCTTACTTTGACAACACAACATACATGTTGTATATCGTTCCTCACTCTTGGTTTATTTTTTCATTTTTGTACAGTATTTAATTACAGTGAGTTCTGCTATAACGCGTGTTTTGACAACTTGAATTGGCTCTAACGCGATTTATGAATAGAGGAACGATATTTGTAAACCGCAATTTTTGCTTACTATTTCTCCAATTTTGTGTAATTAACTGTGAATATGGTAAAGAAGAATATCTCGAAGAAGCGTTCTGGTGATCGCATTTCCGGTGATGATCGTAAAAGAAAGGCTATAACCCTTGAAGAGAAGCTCGATATTATCAACCTCAAAATCACCCTTCTCCCCCATCAAGTTGTATTCATATTTTTCCAAGGTAAAGTGTTACATTTACTGTATGATTTCATCATTAAATATGAATGTAACATTTATTTAGACTGTGCTAACCTTTGTGTTAGGCTAACTACTAAATTTTTTTTCGATTTCGAGTAGTAATCTGCACCTAACCCTATTTTCTCCATAAGCCCTGTTATTTCTATTACGCGAATTTCTATAACACGATGTTTTACAAGAACACAACTATCGCGTTATAGCAGAACTGACTGTATGGTTATTATTATTATTGTCGTTGTTGTTGTTGTTTTTGGTTTCTATAATAATTTTTATCTATTTTTATTCATTATTATTATTATTATAATTATTATTATTATTATATTTTCACCCCTCAGGCCCTGATGTGGGTCAGTGACCTGTGCCCGGGTGGGCTAATCCCCATAAAAAAAAAAAAAAAGCAATACAGATAACATGAAAACATACTCTCTCAAAAACAAATGTGATCCGTGCAATGATTGGCTCTTACGGGAGTCTCTCAATAACACAAGCCACAAATGGCTACTCTCGACTATCATGCATGAACAAGAAGGTAAGGAGAGCAAATATGGATGGTTATAATCACGTTGCTTGCATCTAAGCTTGTGTCAAATCTTACGTGGGGGTTACATTCTGAAGAGGACACGTAAAGCCAAGAAAGCATATCGTCAAAATTACCCTTGAGAGTTCCTTAAATAACCCATAATGTATATTGTTTTATATACCTGTCAATGGTGTATCTGGTGACTTGGCTGGTTAGGCCTATTTCAGTTTAAATGCACACCACACATACAGTATATGCCATTAAATAATAATAATAATAAGTATCAAAAAGGGAATTAATCATTGTGTGTGCAGAAACAAGCACTGTGGGTGAGAGGGAGAGAGCTACAGCTGGCGTTTCCTCACTCATTGCTCTGCTCTCTTACCGTCTCCTGCTAAATGGCAATGCAGAATTTTTTTTTTATTTTTTTTTTTTATTCCTCACATTTACTGATACAGTATATATTATTTTATGCACAAAGAATAAGTTCTTCCACATGCATACCTTCCACGCATCCAGCTCACGAAACAGTTCAGGCAATTACCCAGCTCAGCTAACTCACAAACGTGTAGCAGCCACCATGGTGAGTGTGTATGCTGTGACGTCACATCACACATTTCAAGCCCAGTAACCCACTGCTTCATAAAAAATTTGCTTCCCACATGTGTGCTTTATTTTTCTTATTTTATAGTGTTATTATATATTCAATATTTCTAAGCCACAGAGTATTGTAATGATTTGTTTACAACTTTTATAGTTTCATTACAAGTAACAATATAGAAGGCGGCTGGGTTAGCAAGTCGGCCACATAGTTTATAGCCAACCTTACACACACATTCACTTCTCACACACAAACACCCATAGTTTCGTATTATATTTTCTTTATTTCTAAGCCACATTGTTTTTATAGAGTAGAATACTTGTTAAAGAAGTCTGTTTTTCTGAGAGCTGCACCAGGAGTCAGCTGGCCAACATGCCAGTCAGCTGTGGCCTGAGGGAGATAGTAATGCATGTTGTTGCTGTTGTTACATAAAATGAAACTATAAAAGTTGTGAAAAAATCATTACAATACTCTAATGTGGCTTAGGTATGAAGAAATTATACTATAAAATAAGAAATATGAAGAGCATGGGTGTGTATTTTGTGTGGGAGGTGATCGTAAGTGCGGAGGCAATAGACAGTTTATCAATGGCACATCTGGCGCCTCGGTGGTTAGGCCTTTTCCAGTTAAAATATGCACCACACCTCTGTTTACTTTATCCTTTTTGCCAGTGATTGTCAAGTTGATTTCAGCAGAGAATATTCAGGAAAAATTATGATAGAATAAAAAAGCTCAAGTTATACAAGATAGCACACACACTGCATCGCAACTCACTGGGATGTGCTGCTTCTGTAGACTGACTCTTAGCAACTGTTGCTAAGGGTCAGCAGAGGCACACAACCCAAGTCCCCTCCCCTGGCATGGCTCAGCTGAGGCCGAGAGAGGCGCGAGTGGAAGTACCATACAGTATTTTACGGCATATAAGATGCACTTTTTTCCCTGAAAAATGGCTAAAAATCGGCCTGCTTCTAATCTGTGAAGTTGTGGTTTCCCATAGGCTAATGAATCCTCCAGTTGCTGTCTTTAGTAAGCTAACCCAACTCCAGAATTAAAAAAAAATTATTGCTTGCTTAAATACAGTATTTTTAATTGAAAAAAAAATATAGATTGTAAATATAAAAGCCGAATTTATAATTATGTACTGTACTGATGCTGATCACCCGAGATGAGTAACATCCGTATGGCAGGCACCCAACTCTTCAGAGCTAAGCAGTAACCATTTCTGAATTCTTATAAGCATTACTATCTATTAATGTCATACCTGCAGCATTATTTTTAAATCTACAAATACCTGATGTAAATGAAGATTTACGGATACAGTACATTAAGTTTCTTTTCACATTTGGCTTTTATTTACTGATTTGGCAATACATTATAGTATTTTTGTTGTAACTTATTTAATGGTATTATTTTTATTTATTCCTCACATTTTCTGGTACTGTATATATTATTTTATGTGTGAAGACACACACATACCAATTAATAATAACGGGAAAATCCTCTCACAAATAATTTAAAAAAAAAGTTGGAGTCTACCCTCAAGTGCACTCCGAGCTTTATTAATAACAAAGCACGGAGTCAGTCATGTTGGTGTTTTCAAACCTACTACCCCTAACCTCCTAATTCCCTTTGAATCAATTGTTATAACGCAATATTCTTCAGGAACACAACTATGGCATTATGAGAGAACAGTGAATGTGAACTAATGGGATACAACTTAAACTGAACTTTACCTTAACTTGGACTACAATGTTCTGGCACCTAAAGATGTATACAGATTGATCCATTTTGGCATCTTTGACAATAAGGTCTGGTTTATCTTTCTGATATTCAATAAACCACTTCTTGCCCTCAAGTGCAAATTTAGGAGGGGCGGTAGGGCCATCACGAGCAGGTGATGCCCGGTTGGGTGGGCTGGACTGCTTCACAAATGGTTTTGGACCCTCACGTAAACTGGGGTTCTTGTGAGTCTTCATGTCATCTGTCACCTGGGGAAAATTAATGCAATCAGAAAGTGAAAACTAACAAATTTGCCTCATAAATATAAATATTATGAATTTAAGAAACTTCTATATGTAAATTCAAAATTAAATTAATGAACAAACTAGTCTATCATAAAAAATATTACACAACATTTAAACACTTTATAGACAATTATTATGAAAATATGTAGGAATACCAAGTTAACTATAATCCTCATTTGTACATGTTATTGATATGCCACCACCAGAGAAAAACTTAAGGAGACACGTGGTAAAGTTTCCAACTGAAGCCCTAAAGTTCTTAAGGTGCTATATTACTTATTAGTTTGATTCTTACACTGTATCTGTCATCTAGTTATTTGAATTCACTAATTAGAAAAAATATCCTATGTTAGTAGTACAAGATTATTTTTTTTATCAGTGATTATATTTTCTTCACTGAATGAGCAGATCAATGTCTCCTTTTCCTGCCAAGGGACCACAATTCATCATGTCTGCCCTGGAGATACAAACAATAAACTGAGTAGTTATTGAGAAAAATGAAATAAAAGGGCAAAGGAGAAATATGCTGGGGACAGGCAAAGGATGTAAAGTTAAGCATCTGAAATGGAGAGTATTAGGTGTGGCGACACTGATTAGCATAAAGTATGGAGTTCCATGATAAAGTGTCATGTGTCCAATCCCAAAATATTATGGATCACATGGATTTTTGAGTGTTCACACCATAGGAAGTGAAAATAAAATGAAGAAAGAGATTTCGGGAAAACCTGTATACCTGGAGTGAAAACATTATTGTAGTGATGGTGATTGCATAATTATTTGAATGGATGACAAGGAAGTAGGTGGAATTTTAGGAAAAAAAGAAGTAACTAAGAATGAGTGGAAATAAAAACTAGTACAAATGTGCATAGAGAAAGAGGTTTGAAAGTAGGATATACTGTACTGTATACTGTTAAAAAAGAAAAAAATGAAGCTGCTGCTGCTTAGAGGAAACTTAAAGACATTAAGGGAGCCACCAGATGGATCTGGCAATTAAGAATGAAAGAGGGGATATCATACAGGCAAGAGAGGAAGTAAAAGATAGGGAAACTTACTCTGAATAACTGCTAAATATAACAGCTAAAAGAGAGGCAATCCTATGGAAGGTGGACAAATGAAAAGAATAAATGAGAATTAAATCGCTGTGGAAATGTAAAGGGTGAGAGGTGTATAAGTGATGTAATGGATGACAAGGTGTAGTAGTAAAAACCAAATTAAGGTAAAAACCATGTATACGAACTTGAAAATTTTTTCGAGTGGAATCCATGGATCTCGAAAAGCATATAATGGACAACACACAGAAATAAGATAAGAAGGTATTAAAATGTGTCAAGAGATTTTATAGGAAAAATGAAATGTGTCTGAGTATGCTGTGATGGGTGCACCGAGTTTCAGTGATAGCAAGTCTACAGTACATCGAGGAAGAGGATGTGTAGTACTATATAACAATTGTTTTTCAATATTTTTGTAGATGTGTTGGTATAAAATAAAAAGCAGGAGTACTGAAGAAATAAGCAAATATGGTAACTGAGAATGCATAGGGTAGGGGAATCGGTTACCGTTTGCAGATGATTGATTGATTGATTGTGGTAATTACATCTCTGACGACGCAACAGCTTAGGTCATATGTCACCGAATTAAAATACAGGGGTAAAAGCTTTGAAGACTAAAATCAAATACTGCAAGGTAAAAAAAACGAATAATAAATAGCATGAAACTTTTGTTGACCAATTCAGTAGAAAAGGTACAAATGAGTTTATAACTGTGTACTGTACTTGGAAAATATTAAAAGAAAATTTTAACAAAACTAATTTGTGATGAATATATGTAGAGTAGAACAACTGGGATAAACACTGTATATGCACAATTATAAGCCACTTTTTTTTTTAGTCCCCAAAATGTGAAAATTTAAGGTGCAGCTTGGAATTGAATACCAAGTTTTGAATAGCTAGTGATGCAGTTCAGAGGACTGATTAAGCGTAGTATTAAGGTGCCAACATAACAAATTCATTCTGGCTCTTATCAAGAGCTCTTGAGATATCCTGCTGATGAAATAAGGGAAAAGCAACATACAGAACTATACAAACATCTTCACGAGGTGGAGGGTAGGATGGAAAGGGGAACTAAGGAGATAGAAAGAAATACAGGTATCCCTCATTTAACAATGGGGATGCATTCCTGAAAACCCATCATTATTGCGAAATAATTGCTAAACGAGGGATAACGAGGAATAATTTCCATGGAGATTGCATGTAACTGCAGAGTTGCCTACTCGCCACCCAGTAGCACTCACAGCGGGCGAGGCTGACCAGTAAGTTATGTTATTGTTCAACTCCTAATTTCAGGTAGATATATATTTTTTTTTCTCTGTTGCATGTACTTAATTGTTCATACAAATTGTGCAAAAATATAATAATCATAAGGTCAAAAACATAAAGAGAATAAACATTTCTTTGTGCCAGCTATAAGCTATGTTATGGCTATTTTTAATTTTTTTTTAGTTCAATATCATCTTTATTTATTTATTTTTTATTTATCATTTTTTTTTACTCTTATATGCACACACAATCAATCAAACAGAACATGAAAAAAAATATAAGGTCATAAACAAAGGGAATAAAAATTTCTTATGTGTGCGGGAGTTAGCACACAGTGAGGAAAGGGGAGGGGAGAGCAGTGTGGGGTATCTCTCTGCTGGTCTCTGTCTCGTGTGCTGTGAAATGATAGCCAAATGGCAACGCAGCATTTTTTATTTTTTTTTTATTTATTATTTTTTTTTATTTATCACATTTACTGGTACAGTATACTGTACAGATGGCACAGTTCAGCTGAGCACTCCCCAAACTGACTCATGAGATGTGTGGGGCTACTACCTGTATGCCATGATGTCACATAGGGGTGGGGAGAGAGAGTGCGGCTGGCCGTAGTTACAGCTCACTGCCTCAATGCGTACACTACTCACTTCCTACACATACACACCCATGCTCTTCATATTTATTATTATATAGTTTTATATTAAATTTTCTTTATTTCTAAGCTACATTACAGTATTATAATGATGCACACTGGGAGCACAGAATCCCCAGTTTTTCTGACTTCCTTCCTGAATCTTTCCTAGTGTGTTGAAGACCACTAAACTGAAAACGGACTACTGTATCATTAAATGAGAAAAGGTGTTAAACAATTTAACTTGCTAAATTGAAAAATCGCAAAGTGAATGATCGTTAAACAAGGGTTACCTGTACTGTACTAGAAAAGAGAAGGGTGGACCTCCAGGAATTAGCAGTGTGTGTGAATGACAGGAAAGTAGGATGGTAAGGGGTTGTTGGGGATGCCATAACAATAAAAATGAATGAATGAAGGAAAACAGAAAAACATATTCTAGATTTTAAAATTCTTCTCTCTACCCGAGAAAACACAGGACTGCAAAAGGTAAGATTGCTGATATAAGCACCTGTAAACACAAGGGTGATGAAGAATTGCATCCACAAATATTTGGGCAGAATGAAGATGAACATTGTGGGCAAAGCAAAATGTTCTCTCAATTAATATTCAGAAGTTAAAAATAAAGCGTATAAGACAGACAATTCTCAAAGCAGGATTAGCCATTTCTGTGAGATTAATCCCTGTCAATCTATCTTTTCCTGACAATGCATTGTAGTTCATGGGCAAAAAGATGTACAGTAGTATTGCAAGCAGCTCCAAGGTTATATTTGTCAAAATCTGATTAAAGCACAGTAAAAAAAAAAAAATTATGACTGACACTGTGCTACTGGCGATGATGTTTCCTTCAGTTGGGATTTGAGTAAGGTTGACATATATATAGAGACATATTGGTCATCAGCTTCCAAATTTATCACTTACAATTCCTTTTTATTATTATACAGTATCAGGAAATGAATATTCCTTTTTATTATTATACAGTATCAGGAAATGAATGTCTCATTCTTTTTAGACTAATCTCTGCATCCTTGAGTATACTATACAAAATAACAGTTTTCTTCCAACTATGCAGGAGATCAGTCAAATACTAATGGACAAACAACACCTCCAACAGAAGACAACATACTGAAGTCTATGACAGCAATACATTTTAGTCAGAGTGGCTGTGTCAGTTGTGAAACTACTATTTTCTTGGAATTTTCATTCTATTATTGCATTGGTAAAGGTAATGACCAAATAATAAATCTTGATGAAAGCTTAAACAAATAATTAATATATAAGTGATACAGCACCTGAGATATGAATTACATGCTCTAGTGGAAAAATAATTGTTCGTAAATGGTTTCTAAAGACAGTGAGTGCATAATAAGAATGTGCAAAGTAATTTGAATTTAAATTAAAAGCTGTTGAATGAGGAGACTACAGTACATGCCTCGAACTTTTTCACTCTTAGTTAATCATACAAACCATACACTCATTATACTGTATTCTTGTTTTTGCTGTTTGTTTTACCGACAACAAATATTTCTAAATAAAAGCAATGCAGCAAGTTATACTAAAGTACTTTCCCATGTAAGACAAACTTACCCAAGGTTTAGACACAACTTTTCAATTTTACAATAAACATCAAGCTAATAAACAACCTTTAGAAAATATATATAAGCATTTACAAATGTAACATGGCCTACAGAAATAGCTGGCATTGGGATCCAATGCCTTTTCAGCTGGTGTACATCGATCAACAATTTAATATTTCTTTTAACAATAAACCTTGATAATCTAGACTGTCTGAGACAAAGGTTAGTCTGAAATATCCATGCCATGTTCCAAAAGGAACATAAAAAAAATGGCTACTTAGATTTTTACAGTACCCTGTCCCATTAAAAAAGAAAAACAAATACTTTGACATTAACACAATATTTATATACAAACACCTAAAATATTTAAGAGTGGCTGAGCGTCATACTGTTTATGCTATCTTTCGGCTGCATTTTTTTATAACTTTTATTCCTCTTAACTAAGCTGAACATTACTAATTACTACAATATTTGGTCTAAAAAAATTACGAGTCAGTATATTTCCTTCAAACAGATACTGAAATCTGAAACTGCAAAAATCCACCATCTTCAGATATTTAGTCTAATATATGAATATGTACAGATGTGTTAGTATGAAATAGAATGGTTAAGCATTGCACTTTTGTGTTAGTCTGAAATATGGAAAATGCATTCTACACCAAAGATGAAGTTCAAATTCATCAGCACTACTTGTCCCAAAGCAAAGGTAGAACCCCAACAGTATCATTGTTGTTCTTGAAATATTAAAATATTGCAGTCCCCCAAAAGTATCTTCCTGAAAATTTTTTTAGTGCTGTATATTTGTCTATACCTGAATGTCATCTTCCACACATAATGGCAGAGTGATGAGGGAAAAGTTACAATACAAAATGGGCAATTATTATGAATTTTAATAGTTTAGTGATATTTCAAATTTCCTTTTCATTTGGAATACATTTATACATTATATATTTTGAGTAAGGGAAGTAACATATGATAAGGTAAGACCCTACCTGCTCCACCCTCATCTATTGTGGGAAATAACATAACAGTAAAGACAATAACAACCATTTAATAGGTACAAAGCCATTAGGGGGGTAGATTCTCAAGTTATATACAGTATAAAATATCTATTTTATTAACTGTTTCACAATAAATACTTAAATTTGTTAAAAATAAATAATGAATGATAATTGTAGATGATGAGGACTTGGGAATTACTGCTCAAATTTAATACAATTGTGATTATTTTATCATAATCTACTACAGTACTATGAAGTACATGATAATTTTCAAGTTGTAAAAGTCAATATAATATTTTCCTCAATTTGTAAGTAATATTCCATTCAATAGACATAAATGTAATGTAATCAATCCATTAAAGGACCTCCATAATTTAAAAAAATTAGTAAACCTTTTAACAGAAGAATAAGAGTAAGACCAAGGAACCAAAGATGTTCTTCCTGCAGCAGTAAAGTGGACAATACTGTACCCATATTAACTAATAATACACCAGAACAACCAAAAAAATATGTATAAAAATTACTGTTTGTGATGTCCGCGCCCCTGTTCGTAGGGGTTGAGGGCGAGGCGCCTTGCGGTCCACCTAAATAAGAATGAAACAGTTTGGATAATAACTCAGTTTCTAACAAACAACCATATTACACAAACCTCAGGGAGAAGCCGACCTAATAGTAAATCATTTACTTCAATCTGCCTCTCACTCCTGTCTCAAACTCCCACTCACAAAAACCAGCACAACTGTGACCAAAAACATACAAGCTCATGGGGCTTAAATAAAAACCACACACACATTCTTGTCCAATTTCTTATCCATGTAGTCACTCAATACTGTCCTCTCAGTTGATACACACAAATGTTGTTCAATACAAGTAAATGTACTGTATTTACACTTTTTTTTTCTTAGCAAGTCTGAAATTTTAAGGTGAAGGTAGTAACTGAGAAATGCCATCTGCTGCTGTTTAGTCTATAACAGTAGTTTCATATTTGAATTAACAATGTTACATTGCTGTCTCCTGCATACCCCTCATCCCTGGAATTTTCCGGGTAATGGAAAATATTCTCAGAAGTTCCAGAAATTATGCATTACATTACCTCTTGAACCCAGAAAAATATCTCCCATTCCCGGAACTTTCAGGGTACCGAAAAATTTTTCTTGGAATTTCCAAAAAAAGACCTTGATTTTCATCTCTCAAACCTGGAATAAAAATCCCCCATCCCCGGAATTTTCTGTGTACCGGGAAAATTTTCTCGGAATTTTCCAGAAAATATGCCCCTCTGAAAATTGTTCCCACAGCAAGAATTTGGCAGTAAATTCTGGCTTTGGGAATGATTTTCTGAGCAAATTTTAATTCCGCCTATGGGAGATTTCCGGGTTTGAGGGATTCCGGCTAATGGAGATGTTACTAGCCTAATTTGTGTTTATGTAGTGACAAATGTTTTCCAGTACAGTATTAACCCATGGTATAATTTCAAATATGCATTCCTGAAGGACTGACAGTGTTTTCTGTTAATTATACAACAATGCATATCACTAGTCCATCTGTAACAGGGTGCAAACAACTGTACAGTATTTTCCCATTCTGTTTCAAAAATGTTTCCAATTACATTATTGTACCATAGAAAATCTGTAAGGATTATTTATAATTTGAAGTGATTGAAAATCAGCTGGATGATGTCCCCAGTCTCCATCCTATGATTTCAAGTAACAGGGGGAATAAAGTTGTTCAAGAAATACATATGATCAGTGCCGGATTAACCATGAGGCACTGGCCTCAGGCCCCCTGACTCTAAGGGGCCCCCAAATCCAAACATTCTCGAAGTTGAAGCGTATAAAACATGAACTTGTTCAACGATGTCCTAGTAACATCTCAATTTTCTGTCTCTTATGAACATTAATGTGTTATTTTGCAGAAGCTTAATATTGATGAAATCATTGATAAATTTGGGTATATTTTGTTCTTGTTATTTATATATACCTTGAGGGTACGGGGGCCCCAAGTTGATCTGTGCCTCAGGCCCCTATTAAGCTTAATCCAGCCCTGCATATGTTGTGTATGAAAAATACATATATTCCTCACTGATGCAAAAATTCATCTCGCAACTTGAAAATCTAATCAAGTACAAGTTTGGGACTGTTTATCCGTTGTCCTGGTATAGTATCCAGAACGCTCCTAAAACTGGCTAAGTTCTTGAACGTATTATTTAAAATGAGCACCAAGTACAGTACCGTATTTTATGGCGTATAAGATGCCGGGCCATATAAGACACACCCCCCATTTTCACGGAGTATTTAGGAAAAAACTCTTGTGTGGATTTCCCTCCTGTAGCCAAAGTTTTCTTAAAATAATATATATAGTACAGTATGCCCCCCAAGTTAGCGGATTTTTACTTCACGGTTCTCAGTTATTCGCGGATGACACTGAATGTACCCAAGATTGTCTGTGGGTAGTTTTAAAGTTGTCAACATTTTTGTGGCTGGGACAGGGAGCCATTCATTCTAGAGACAGTAATTTTCTTTACCTGTATTGTAAATATGTGTGTGTACACACACACACACAAAACACATACAAATAAATAATAATTGGGAAAATCCTCTCACAAATAATCAGAAACAAATTTATTAACAATGTGAGTCTACCCTCAAGTCCGTGCTCTGTTACAGTACTTTATTATTAGAGCATGAACTTGAGGGTAGACTGTCACATATTTAATGCACTGCAAATTAATATATCCCTCTGTATACATTTGAGGTATACAACACAGCATCTGCACTAATGTAACTAATAAAGTGTATTTCTGGTGATAAATATGGATATAAATGGCTTAATTGCCACAGAAATCTTGAGAAATTATGTTCGTAAGGTGAAAATTAGCACAGGTTACCTCATGGGAATCCTGTTTCACCCTAGACTTCTGTAATCTCAAAATACTGTACACAAAAACAAATGCCAGGGCTTTTGTTTCTGTAACTTGACACAGTAAGCATCAGGAAAAAATGTGGTGGTAATAATATTATAAAAAGAAAAGAAAACACTGTGTGCTGTAGTTCTGTACAGTATAGTGTAGGATTATGAGTGGATTTCCACCAAATCATGAAAACAATCCTACTCAGGATGAACATGGCTGGGTAAGTGTGTAGTTAGAATTATAGAATGTTTACCGAGGCTAAAGGTTGGGATTATCAGGCAATGGTTGTGCATTACCTCATTACAGTAAATATAATCTACAGCTAACTGGTTAGCTTATACAATAGGATATTACGTCATGCAAAGACTCAAAGAAATTACTGAGCATACAAAAAGTTGAAATAAAAATTTAGACCAAACAGACTTATTTAGCAAACATATAAACTATTTTTGGGAAGGATAAGGACAATTGGATCACAAAATATTTGTGAACAGTACAACAATCCCCAAAAGATCAACAAAACCATACCTTCTTAAGCCCAGAGGTGATATTTGTTCCTTTGTTGATTGAATCGAATAGTGCAGAACGCCCATCATCTGCAGCCACAGCCTTTGGGTCCAGCTTGATCATGGGGGGAGGGGGAGGGATGTTGCCAGCTACCGATAATACATCAACATTAGCTACAATATTCTAATGCAGGTGGGATACTGTCATTTACCACTACTGCATAGTCTTTAAGCCACACAATTTGAAATCATTGTCTGCATAATTGGTTAGTGTAATATTGTACAGTACATGGTACTACAAAGAAAAAATCTTTGGTTCTGATACCCTAACAACCATTTTAAACCTTTACTAAGACATTATTCCTCCCTGTGCTACACAGTACACCAATAATATAAGATTACTACACTGTTCAATGGGAAACAGAAAATGGCTAAATACAGTCCAGTACTTGATCACCAGTCAAACTCTTTTGACTGAGCAGTGTCCAAATTATGGATATTTTGGGGTTACTGAGACTGATCTTTTCACAAGAAAGTGACCATGAAATAGGTATGCAGACCCAACTGTCTTGAATTCAAAATGATAACGCTAACAAAAGGGTGTTGATAGTGCATGGAAAATATGTGACCTTCAGCAACTAATGTCCTTTTGGTGGAAATTTTTAACACAGGCATTCGATTTTGGAGGTTTTCAGATTTTGGATTTTCAGACTGGTAATCATGTATGTACTGTAATTAAATAATAATTACAATAAGAACAATAACATCAATTGTTTAGAATAGGTTCAGCCAGTATACTGTAGTGAAAGGCTTGCAAAAGTGAAAAAATTATAATATGGCTTTAATTTGACTGTATAGTACTATATCACACAAATCAAATGTCAAACCCAAGAGGAATTATATAGGTGAACCTCAATATTTATGGGGGTTACATTCCTGGAATATGTCGTGAATGTCAAAACTGCGGAAGTTAATGCTCCTATTCTTAAATGATCCGAGAAAATTAAAAATAAAGAAATCTAAACAAAAATATGAAAAAAAGTAGAGAGATAGTGTATGTAAATAATATACAACTCCCGATTGTTCACCACGAATGGTTACAGGAAAGGTAGATCTTTTATATACAGTATAATCAACTGGCCAGTATAGGTGTAACCCACTATAATTGAACATAACTTGTCACTAGAAATTACTTAAATTAGATCAATGATAAAAACTTGTGACCCTGGAAACATCACAAGTAGGTTACAAATTTATCAGCTGGTCACCTACCTCTCCTTCACTCTCACTTATCATTTGGCCAACTCAATTTCTCTCTCTCTCTCTCTCTCTGACTAGGTATTATCACTATTCCTTTATACTGTAGAAATACTGTACATGAGACAGATCAAGCAACAACATAATGGCTTGCGAGTGAGCAGGAATGTGACAGGACTTGGTCACAACCACTTGGGACAAGTGCAGGATGAGGTGTTGTCATTATCCTACTACTGCAGTTCACTATTCATTTAGTATATATTTTATGTCTTCCATGATTAGTTTGTAAAGATTTTTTGAGACTTTGTTTAAATATGGCTTGCCAATTGCTATTAGAGTAAAAAGTGCTTGAAACTAACACTGACATATATTTAAAGTCAGCCGCTATAAAAACTCTTAAGGGGTTTCATTTTTCAGGTCATGTTTATCATACAAGAAACTATTCATGGTTTTGTCTTTATACTGCAACTTAATATTGGTCTGTTTAGGAATCACCTCATAATACTTAAGCTCAAGATCTAGACAGTTTTATATATATATATATATATATATATATATATATATATATATATATATATATATATATATATATATATATATATATATATATATATATATATATATATATATATATATATATATATATATAGCAAATGTCATGACTGAATAATCCTACAGCATCTGCCATTACTGAGAGTAACCTGACAGCATCTGTCATTACCGAGAGTAATCCTACAGCATCTGCCATTACTGAGAGTAACCTGACAGCATCTGTCATTACCGAGAGTAATCCTACAGCATCTGCTATTACTGCGAGTAATCCTACAGCATCTGCTATTACTGAAAGTAATCCTACAGTATCTGCCATTACCGAGAGTAATCCTACAGTACCAACCATTAATTAAGAGTAATCCTACAGCATCTGCCATTAATAAGAGTAATCCCACTACATCTGCCATTACTAAGAATAATCCTACAGCATCTGCTATTACTGAAAGTAATCCTACAGTATCTGCCATTACCGAGAGTAATCCTACAGTACCAACCATTAATTAAGAGTAATCCTACAGCATCTGCCATTAATAAGAGTAATCCCACTACATCTGCCATTACTGAGAGTAATCCTACAACATCTGCCATTACTGAGAGTAATCCTACAACATCTGTCATTACTTAGAGTAATCCCAGGGTATCTACCCATACTGAAAATATTTCCAAATCATAACTTATCTTACAGGAGATAATAAAGCATATACAGGGACCCCTCGACTTACGACCACCCGGACACACGACCGCCGCAGTCGTATAAAATATTTTTCAAATTACTGTTCGTATTTTCGAGTCCCGACGTTAGTGATCGCGCTGTGTATTGACAAAATTTTCGTTTGTAATTCCCTTTAAAATGGCTGGCAAACGTAAAAGTGAGAGTTCTCGTGGTAATGAGACCTGGTCGTCGGTCCCTAACCCCGTAAGTTGAGGACTGACAAGTACAGCATAATTATGAACACACTGTTCTATGTATATAGTTATTCACCTCCATAAAATATACAGTACTACCTGTACTGTACAATAAAAACTGATAAGACATTCATAAAAAATATAAAAAATCTATACAGTATATAGCAGATGAAGCTAGTGAGAGACTTTCTGTATTGCCAACCAATGACTGTAGTATTGTGGAAGTGATCCGCCAGTCTCGGATAGTAAAAGCACACACTGTAATGAATCGATGTGCACTTGTATGATAATTTTACTGAATACCAGTAAATAGTTATCGTTCTAACACCTCAGAGAGTTATCATGAATACACATCCAATGAAACAGCAAGATAGTCACATCCTGATATGGAAGTTTTGAATAAAGTACTTCACTGGGCTTAAATCGTTTATCTCTTGGGATAGTTGATAGTAAATAGGATGAATCTCTCAAGACTACCTCGACACCAAGAGCTTACATATTGGTCCAGACCAGTGAGAAGTTTACGTCGGTATACTGTACCTGGATTATCCAGGGTTGCTTTAACTTTTGGTTCTGCTCCAGATGTTGTTTCAAAAGTACAACACTTGAATGGTCACTTGGTCAATAGTCAGCTATATAAATATTAATTTTGCTCAAGTAACTACTGGGTAATTAATTGACTGAGTTTTAGACTCAGCTACACTGATGCAGCTTTTGACGATCTGGTGGTCACTCATTAATTATATTTTTGACATTCCTCATAATATATTTTTATCTTTAAGCACTATATTTCATTGTCATTAACCCCTACACCCCAGTAGACTTTTTGCAACGTCCATTTAGGGCGCCCCGGTTGACGTTCTGGAACGCACACCTTTTCACGGCATTGTTTGAATGCTCAGCGAGGGTTATCAGGCTCCAACGTGACTATTTGCGTGTCGCGCCACACTCTCGGCCACAGGAAAGCTTTCTGAATGTAAGTACCTTATTTTGTTTGTTTTATTTTCATTGCTTGTCCATTTTATTATATTGTATCAAAGTAATATTACTAAAAGTAGTGATTGTAGTGTAGTGTAGTATTACTGGAAAATAATGCTATGAATATGTTATAAATGTATTTATTTGTGGAATTATTATTCCAATAATTATTTATATGCATTACTTGCTCTACCAAACACAAAGACAGCCAGACAGCCTGGCGACAGACTGTACTTTTTATGAAAAGTAATGCGCATAAAATATGCTAAATTAATTATTTATAGTTAATAAGTACAGTATTATGATCAGTAAATATATGCATTACTGGCCATCCCGGACACTAAGGCAAGCAGAAAATGGGCGCCAAGTGTGTAGTGACCACGAGCGCTAGCCGTTAAAACAACACTGTCTCCTTATCTCCCTTGCCACTGCTGCCCCAGGGAAGTTTCTAGAGGGTCAATATATAGTTTTTATTACTTATTTTTGACTGTTTTATCATTTAAAAAGGTAAAAAGTTATTTTTGGAAAAGTTGACTTTTCTAGATTTACCCAGCGTGAGGGATAAGGCCAGAGTCACCCTAACCCGGGGCGTAGGGGTTAAGAACTTCTGGTGGCATCAAATATAAAATTGGGATTTAAAAAAGAAGACAAAATGTATCTCAATGCTCTCATGACAGCATAAACCCTTACACTACTTACACTTCAAAATTTGATCATCATAAAGCCTAAAGGTTTAAAACAAACAGAAAAGAGTAGAAGCCTTCTAATATCAAGCTCTAACTATAATTACCCCACTAATTATACGATTTAGGTAAGTACAGTACTTGGATGCCTCTCAAAGACAAATTGTAAACAAAAATTTTTCACTACACTTCAGCTGGTGCAATTATCTGGGATGAGACAAATTAAGCCAATACGGGTATTTCACACATCAGTAACACTACTGCCTACGAAAGTAATGTACATTTAAGGCTTTTCATTATACTGTACAAGGAAAAGGCTTAGAGATTCAAAATGAATCTGAAATGTGAAAAAAGTGAATTAATTCTTATCTGATTAAAGCAGTTGAAATGTATTTGATTAAAAACTTTACAATACTAATCTTACAACTCATTTACAGGCTTTATCATAAATAATTACACGATTAATATTAGTGATCGCTAATAAGCTTATGGAAATAAAATTTTACCACTCCTCGGCTATTGTGAATATGCATCATTGAAAAAAAGAAAAACAGCATTTCTCACAGAACTATTAAAAAGGGATCATTCAGCTGATGAAATATAGCTCCATAACAAATATTAGTAAAGGTGTACTGTATTAAAACTAGTAAAATTAAAATTTTGTTGCCAAGAGTTATTCCAAATTCAATCCCAACTATTTTAAAATAATGATCATCATCACCATCCAATTGAAAGTACAGGTGTAATGAACATACAGTACTGTACTACACTGCATAAAATTCAAGGTTTTCCTTTTAACATAGTAAATTACAGTACTTTTATGTATCTTTGAATTGCAGCATTTTCATCTGTCCATGCAGCATACCTGGAGGGGGAGGAGGGACACCACAGTTGGCTGGGGCAGCTTTGAGGTTGGCCATAGCATTGCCTCCACGGGTATTCCATGATAAACCGGTTGTATGATGTTTTTTGACGTACTCTTGAAGCTCCTTGAAGACATTATTCCAGTTCTGAACCCATTCAACATGCACCTTGTCTTTCTCCCTGTGAATCACAATAAACTATCATGTTTTCTGTCTACAGATGAAATAGATAATTATGAATTACCGGCACAGGTATACAGTAGTACAGTATATTAAAACAAACAAAAGATTTAGATTATAAAGGACTTTCACAGCTTTTTGGCAAGTGTTCTGAAGTTATGGGGCACAGCACTTTTGTCCTGCCCTAATGGTTGCCGATTCAAATCCTACAGTCAACACCGAATGGTAATGAAGCATCAAGTTAGAAATACGAGTGTTTGGTGTCAGTTGTGCATACAGCAGTTACTAGTTATAAAGCATTTTCATATGCTTTTACATGAATCTTGGCACATACCAGTATTGTACAGTCAAAATAATCCATTAAGACAATAATATAATGATTGCCACATTTGGTACACTTAAAATGTGTACCTGTTCCAGTATATTTCAAATAAGATTAGGTTGGTGCTACAACAGGGACTCACTGAACTGCCCGGTGAAATTACCTATATTCCTTGAGAACTCTATTGGTATAGAACACAGCAGAATCACCCATCTCCTTTACATAGGGTGCTGGTGCAGGGGTAACAGCTACCCATGAGAGGCCTGGGATGGATTCTGAGATGGCAGAGAGGTGGTTGAAGAATGGAGACTGGCGTTTGGATTCCCTGAAGGCAATCACCTCTTGGATCTTCTTTCCTGTAGGTTCTAGTACCTGCAAAACATACATGTTTATGTTCAGAGATCAACACCTTACTAATCTCCCTGGGAGGGAAAAAAGAAAGGCAAGTCTCATTTCATATAATATAAAATACAGTATATTTCATAAATTTATCAAGCTGGATAGATCCAACATTACCTATATACAGTACAGTACTGTGCGTTTATTTAAAAAGGAGTGCTTTCTCATAAATGCTTTACTTTCATTTTTAAACTGCAGTACAGTACTGTATTATACATAATGTATTTTATATTCTTTACTACTAAATTTTCCATTATACAGTACAGGGTAGTGTACATGTAGTTTTTAAATTTATTCGTGTTTTGTATATTTGACTACAATAATTTATAAATTCTAATAACTTCATTTCTGGTTATGATTCTATGGTAAACCTGCATCTTTGAGGAAGAAAGCCAAAATTACCAGTTACTGAATGCTGTCATTCACTGTAACACAATAAAACCTCAGTCTGAGAAGTGATTCCCTGTACTCAAGATAAAAACTGTCAAGTAAATAGACAGAGGATAGCAATGCTGACACTGATCAAACAACATTCTGTCATGCACCAACACCTTTAGTTATTTTTTTCCAAATACAGTACAGTACAGTATTACAAATTCAGCAGAATAAAGAATAAACCAGTGCCATTAAACATACAGTATCTACAGCATCTATCTGCCTTATCCCCCCCCCTTCCATTTTTGTATGAGATGCATTAATGGGCACAGAAAATAAATGAGAAATTGTTGGGAAGAACTATGAAAACAAAAATGACAGCAAATTTGTATCTAAATATTACGTATTTCTATACCTAACAAACATTCGGAAGACCAGCAACCCCTACCTGTGGTAATTCAGAATCCAAAGGCCGCTGGCTTTTTGATGCCATGACCAAGAAGGCTCGCTGGTTGATGAAGGTAGACTGTACCATCTTGGCAATACTGGCAACATCTCCACCGATCTTCATGCTACAGTCGAAGAAAGTTTTGAATGGCCCAGAGAGCAGGTCATCATATGCCAAAACAAATGGCACTGTGCATTCCTCTGGATTTTTAGAAAAAAATATAATTAATGAGGAAGTACATTTCACAAAATTACAGAAAGCAAATAATATACTGTACAGTACAGTACTGTATACTGTACAGTATAGTACTGTATACTGTACAAAAATATTAAGTTATTATTTTTTTAAGTTTTATAGACAAATTATCATGATAGCGGTTAAAAAATTTAATAAATTTCTAATTAAACACTGCAGACCAGATCAGATCCATCTACACAATACTGTACTGTACTTTCTTAATAACAAAATAGGAGCAGGAAAAAATCATCACACAAACCCACAGAATTAATAATTTTTTTGTAACATACATTTGAAAACTACACTTAGGAGTTTATTAATCAGTGGAAGGATATTACAGCACTAAATATTTTTTTTTAAGTTTATTTCAGAGTTAAATTCAAAGCTTGTTACAGTACATTATTAAATGACTTGCTTTAGTTCCACCTTCTTTATTATTCAACACTTGATAATAATAATAATCTGTTAAAAGGTAATTTGTTCTGAAGTTGTACTGTACAGTACTGCAGTATCTACAATTCCATACACTGCACAGTAAACTATTTTATTTGAAAAGTATGATTTACTGGTTAGAAATTTTTTGGAGAAGTTTGGAGCACCTGGTCATGAAACGGATAGTTACCCTCTGTTAAAATAGTTCATGGCCAGAGCAATAATAGAAAATAACAGTCTGGGAACTTATCACACATTACCTAAGGTGCTTAAAAAATCCTTAGAGAAAGGCAAATCAAATTTATCTGAAATCATGCTGTGATATACTGTATCTACTGTACTCGTGTATCTCACAGTTGGTTTACTGTAAGTCCAAGGCTATTTATTCATCATGTTCACTGAGTTGTACCCATACTGAAACACCCTTCATGGAGCAGTGGGAGAAATTCAAACAGTAAAAAGTGCATACCTGTCAGTACCATAAGAGCCAAAACCAGGATGGCCTGATACAGTACTGTACAGGACCAACACCCACACTCAAAAGTGGTGGTAATTGGGGCAACTTCTTTTATTGTCTATCTCCCTAGTTTGTTTTCCCACATATGAGATGCAATTCTTGAAGAAAATGTTGGAAACTATCCTACAGGTAGAGTTCCACATAATCTATCAGAATACCTGTACTTCATAAGACTTGAGACACTTCTGTACCTACAAATTATGTTCCACAATCTATCAAAACCGTTTATCATTATATATCGCACAGTAAAAAAAAACAAAAAAAAAACATATGGCTTACATTAACAAAAACTACATTGTATATCTCCCCTTTCTGTACTCTAAGATGATGGGTGTGGTAATGGCAAATCAACTTGGTAAACACAATGAAGATATAAAAGATTCATGCAACAAAGATTGTCATGTGATTCACTTTGGCACATCCAACAAGAGTAAATGTTTACATCTCTTTGTATTTACTTCTCCCTTTAATTATTTATTTAAATATTTTAATCTTATTTCTTTTGTTCATTTTGCCTTTATGTTGAAGGGAAAGGAGGAACAATGAAAAACTGACAGCTAAAACTGCACAGGTACAGTACAGTAATATAAATAGTAGATGTACCAGTAAATAAATGTAAGACTTTTGTACTGTACTGTACTGTACTGTACAAGAGACATCCTTTTCCAAACATATCCCATCCTTTTCTACTATAATTTGAATTTTCAGATGAGTAACCTCTTAAAAGAAAAACAATCTTACCAACAATACCAGACTTTTTTTTAAATACAGATATAGTCCTGTACATACATTAACAGCAAAGTAAAAAATAAATAAAATAAAAATCACAGCACTAAAAATTACAGTACAGGATAGTTGTGTCAAGTCAAACATTTAAGTTACATTCACAGATCAAAATAAAGGATAAAGGGTATAAAAACTCAAGCAAAAAAACAAAATAAAAACCATTTCAAACTATTCACACACTACAGTGAGAAAAATAGGGGAAAACGGAATTCACTCAAGTAAAAGGGGACACTAGGCTATTTAACAGAAGGTTCAAGGTAGTGAAAATTAAGAACAAAAATTTAACAGAAACAAACATAATCATAAGGTATGTTAAGTTTCTTCATTTAGACCCATTAAGATATCCAAAATTTGCAATTAAAGCTTGGTTTCACGGTTTGTGGGCCATGCACTTGGAAGACTGAGGGTCACCTGGAATGCAGGTTTCAAGGTACAGTACCCTAATCTGGAAGTGAGGTTGTATTGGTGTTCAAATAGAACACTGAATTACTGCAATGTAACTAAGAAATAAAGGCTTAATGTCACTACAAGTACACTATGGATAAGAGGTATTGGATTAAGGTATAGTATTCTGGAACAGGGAATTTAATGATAATTTGGGGGATAGATTTAATTAAGATAACTATGGCAAAGGTTTGATATCACTACATGGCATGGATATGGGGCATTGGAAGCACACAAGGCAACCAGTTTACCATCTTGATGAAACACCTACCACCCCATATCAAGCCTTGGCGACGTTCTGAAAAGTGCGATAAATTTGTGACAACTACTCTCAAAAGTAGCCAGGTAAAAATAAAAAGCTTTGATACTCTGGTCTGTTAATAAAGTACAACAAAACCTCTTTAATTCAATGCTTCTTTAAACTAAAAAAATAAAATAAAATAATAAAAATTTTGAATGGGTAAAATCTGCATGACTATTCAATAAGTAAAAGGCCCCCCAAAATTTTATGCTGTACTGTACACTGTACTTTCCAGAAAAAATAAAAAAATTACTTAATAATTGTTCATTTTAGCTCATAAATCTATTAATGATATCAAAAGTTTAAGCAAATTGCCACATGATTGTGCATTGGATAAAATTGACACTATTTCACCAAAAGAATTCATGAGGTGAAATTATAGATATTTTGGATTGTCAATCCATCCGACATGCATTGTCAGCTGCATTAGAGAGGCTTTACTGTTTAAAAAAAACATTGATATGAAATCATAAATAACATGAAAATAGCATAAAGGTGTATCTGTACTGTACATAAACACGGCAATATTTAAGTGTGTAGAAATGCATGGCTGCATGCACGTGCATGTATGCAGTACAGGGTACATGCTTATCAAGGAAAAGGAGAGGTCTAACATGGGTATGTGTAAAGAAACAAAATTGAAAATAAAATGTAGTAATCATGAGGAACAGTATAGTGATGCAAATTACATCAAATTTAATAAAAGAAAATAGAGGCAACTTGATAAAAAATGAGAAACTGATTATCAGTAAGTGACAAGAAATTAACATTAAAGTACGGTGCAGTAATGGTGAGAGAAGGAACAAGGTACAGTAAGCACTGTGTCACATGAAAATAATGAAGAGTAAAAAGTAAAAAAAATATAAAAGAACCGAGTGTCAAGAATTTAATTAGTTTACAAGTTATAAGAATCAAGAATAAAATTAAAGTACAGTACTGTACCACGCCCAAAAAATATTCTTGATAATGGAACAATTTATCTCTGATTAACAATAAGGGAATTATGATACACTAGGCTTTCAAATAAAGAAATTACTTAATGGTAATTTACACATCTGAACTTGTCACAGATACCTGTACCCGTTCAAATGCGAGACCCTAGCCCCAGCCCCCGGACAATACATCAGGGACAGATCCAAGTGATCCGGACCCCCTCCTTTCATCAGAAAATCCCAATATTTTTTCTTTAATGCTGTATTGCACTCAGACATTTTTGTATAGTAAAAATTAATTACTATTGGCCTCAGAATATCTCTTAATATCAAACACACGCAGCCTCAAAATGTCCCATGATATTGGTCAGATTTCCAAAAAATTCTGAGGGTGAGTTCGCTGTGTTCGTCATGTTCCCCCACCCACAACTTCTTGGACCCCTCCCTTTTGATATTCCTGGATCTGCCCCTGTATATGTACAGTACAGTACTTTATTGCTAAGTACCTCCTGAGATTAAAAGTTTTGAAAGCCCTGTACTGAACACGTGGCAGCAGATCCTCTTCTGTCATATTAAAAACAAGCTCATGAAAAGGATAGTAACAGCAACACAACCTTAGGACATAAGCTGCAGCACATGGTGCATAAAAACTTGCAAGTTTCCTCTCACATTTCCACCTAACATTGAAGAATCCAGTCACGCACGATGCACATTGTTCTCCCTGACTGCATTCGCCCCTTCCCCTCCCTCATCATTTCTCCAAAACCACCACGCCCACTTAATATATAACTCACTACTTAATCAGATAATCGTGAATGCTGCGTTTACTAAATTGTGTGGTCACTAAGACAGAATGCCCTCCGCGTTAGCCGCTCCCAGGGCCACAGGTGTGCTTCCCCGGTCTACCTCTCCCTCCTCCCCTACCCCTCTCACACAGCTGCAAGAACATGCCTCCCTCACCCCTCCTACAACAACCGTTAAACCCGCACATTACATCATTCTAGCCCATTTCTTCCTGTATACCAGCTCGTTATTTCTGCAAGCATAATTTTAATTTTGTATTCCGAGGAAATAGGTCCTTTGTTTGCCGAGCCTCCAGGCCCCTATCCTAAATCCCCGAATAGTGTGCCCATCGACTCTTCCCCACAACCCCCAAATGGTGGCCAACAATACCTAGGGGGTGAAATTACCGAAAAACCGACGTGAAATCAATTACACGGCCAAATATGGGCGGAACAGTGCTGGAGTCAGCACTACACGTCAGCGATAACAGAGTTCTACTATTCTCTCATAACCTCAGATGATGACAATCATGACATACACGTTGAACAAACTTGTAAGATAATGACTGCACCTTAGTTATCACATCAATCACATTTACAGATAACTATACTGATAAATTTAAGTCTAGTTCTTATTCAGCCATTTAGATTGTACAGCATATAAATGATTGCTCTCTACATATTAACAAATTATATTTTAATTTTCTAGAAACATGGTATCCTTAATATTGCTCCAAATGAATGATTAAAATTACGAAAAGCCTAAAGACCATAATCTGACTTTTGAGTGTACTGCACTGAGAAAGCAAGATAAGGTCGAGAAGTCGGTGCTGCGACTTCCTTACCCTAAGGTTCTAAACCAAGTTCCCGAATGTCAGCACAAGACCCGCCCAGTTCCACATACCTGTCATCCTGACCACTGCTCCTTCCTACAACCAAGATAAAATGCTGCTTTACACAGATGAGGAAGTGTTGCACAGTATAAGTGTCAGCTACAGCCACCTCACAACCTGTCTAGGCTAGAACACACTGCACTAGCCTCACACCCTCGCCATAATCAGCTGAGCTCACGCTGCCACGTTACCAAGTACCTATATTTTACACTATCCTCCCCGAAATCTGTGATTAATACCTACTAAACTAAATAAAAATAACAATAAATATTAATTAAAATGCTTAGCAAAAACCGCTTGAAGTTTATGAACATATTAGGAAGATACAAAATTATACTTTACACGGCTCGCATCTGGCAGGAGGGAAGCCATTGCAAAACACCTATATATACTGTCGAAATAATTAGTGGAACAAACTGAAGTGCTGCTCAACACTTAGCCATAAAGGGGAGAGTCATATACTGTACTGACACAAAATGCACAACGAACCCATCATATAGGCTACACAGGCACTAGGCAGTACGTCCCTACTCTAGCACCATCGGTGCAATCAAATATGGGATGAACCTTTTAAGCTTTATAGCTCATCGGGCACTGCTGATATTAGGCCAAGGAAACAGCAAAGATAATATATGATACACTTAATTAGACCACAGGGGTTGTGAGAGAGAGAGAGAGAGAGAGAGAGAGAGAGAGAGAGAGAGAGAGAGAGAGAGACTCTTAAATTACGTATTCCATTTACACTACTCTGTACAGTACAGTTCAGTGAGAGAGGACTGTTGGTTGATATCCGGCGTGACATTTTACATCCTGCCATTATATCTAACGTAAACATCTGACTTAGAACTTGCCTCTCCTAAAATAATAATAAATCGCTAGCTTGAACACACACACACACAAACATTTCAATATCCTTCGATGGTAAGGGAAAAATCACTTGATAAATTAGTTTGAGTTTCAACTACCCGTATCACAATTTTCCTAATTTATTTAATTTCCATTTAAAAATTTAATTCCTTCACTGCCAGGATGTTATGCTCAAACACAGCCTACCAGCGCATTTTTAACATCGCTTTAAAAAAAATAAATAAACAAAAAATCCATGGCCAAACACTAAGCTCCAACCTGGTAGTAAAACCATCAAAAGCTTTCTTTCGTTCATGCACGACACTTTGCTCTGTATTAAAAAACGCGGGTCATGACTCATGGCTGGGGTAGAAAGTTCAGTTTTGACTGAATACAATCGTCACAGAAACTAGGAACTAAATATTGTACCGTCATTGTAAGGGTATTTTCTCCGGTGGTACACACTACTCCTTTCACTTCAAGGGCTAAGATGTAAGCCGCACCCATTGTTCATTGTAAGTAGAGTACAATGTCCTTTTACATAAGAGTTGTCACTCTTCATAAGAGAAGGATTAAGCCATCATACAAGATATATTTTACTCAGTGAGCTAATTCATTGTACTCAGGAGGTTTGTATTATGATAAGCTCACAATAGGAGGCAGCAAGAGCCTCAAGTATGTAGCACCGTCAAGTGATGAAGGCCCCAACCTAACTTACTTAACCATTGACCGAGGCTAAATCCATACCTACAAGCATCTGGCAACACCTCTTCACTGCCTCAAACAACATGAATAATGAACTTTCAGGCTTTTAATACACAATAGTGTAACTACGAAATGTGAAAATATATTATCACTTTGTCTTATCGAAGTACAAAATTCGTCTTATGCTTTCGCAATCAGTACACTAAACGACAAGCCACACCACTTTATGTATAATTCTGTACAGAGGACAGGTTCTGCGAGCGCGCAATCACGCGTGAAAGGGCACACAGACACTCACTCGTGTTATTCACAAAAATTTTGTGCTTTCTGTAATGAACTTTGGCCAGATGCTAATGTTAAAAGACCACTTCCCCTATTCCACTATAAGTTATACATACATAAACACACCTACCTAGTGCCTGTTTAAATACCTCAATTAACACCTGTTACTAATATATTAGGCCACCTGGATAATGTATAATCTCTCCTACTCGAGTTAAGAAGTAGATGCGAAAATTGGGTTTCATGACGATTAGGCACCCCGGGTACCGTCGGGGGCTTATGTTGGGGTGCCGAATCTTCAACTGGGCACTTGGGTGCCTATTCTTCATGAGATCCCGAGAATTTTCACTTTCATACCAATACTTTACCTTGACATTCCTACCCAAACCCATCCAAGACATCTCTCCCTCTCCCTACCTGGGCGAGGTGGGGACGATCCATGGCGGTGAATAAATTCATTATGTCTGCAACTGTCTGCCTCGTGATATCTCGTGTACCCGTTTGTCCAGTGAGAGAGTGGGTGCTTGTGTCCCCGCGGGTGTATCTGGGTGTAGAAG